TTTCTTAATTTCTCCTTTTGCTCCTTCACTATTAGGGTACAGAATCACAACAGATTTCTGTACATTGACTTTGTATCCAGTGACCTTACTGAATTCTAGTTTTTTTAAATAAAGATTTTATTTATTTGAGAGAGAGAGAGAAAGCACAAGAAGGGGAGAGGGTCAGAGGGAGACGCAGACTCCCCACTGAGCAAGCAGCCTGAGGCGGGGACCACATCGATCCTAGGACCACAGGATCATGACCTGAGCCAAAGGCAGATGCTTAGGCAACTGAGCCACCCATGCGCCCTTAGTGGAGTCTTTTTAAAAAGATTTTACTTACTTATTTTAGAGAGAGACAGAGATAGCAAGAGAGCATGAGTGGGGAGGAGAGGGAGAAGCAGCCTTGATCCCAGGACCCTGGCGTCATGACCTGAGCTACCCAGGCCCCCTTGGTGGAGTCCTAAGGGTTTTCCGTATGTAATATAATGTCGTCTGCAGATAGTGAAAGTTTTATTTATTTATTGTGAAATAAAAATTGTAGAAGTTTTTATTTCCCACCAATCTGGATGCCTTTTATTTTTTCTTCTTGTCTGTTTGCTGTGGCTAGGACTTCTGGTTATGTCGAATTAAAGTGGTCAGAGTGGACACCCTTGTCTTGTTCCTGATCTTAGGGGAAAAGCTTTCAGTTTTTCACCACTGAGTATGAAGTTAGCTGTGTGTGTGTGTGTTTTTTAAGATTTACTTATCTGAGAGAGGCAGAGGGGGAGAGACTCTCCAGTAGACTTAGTGCTCAGTGCAGAGCCCTGAGGTGGGGTTTGATCTCACGACCCTGAGATCACGACCTAAGCCCAAACCAAGAGTTGGACGCTTTACCAACTGTACCACCCAGGCGCCCCAGCTGTGGAGTTTTCATATATGGCCTTATTAAGTTGAGGTTTGTTCCCTCTAAACCTTTGCAAAGGGATTTTAATCATGAATGGATGTGCTTTGGTGAATGCTTTTTCTGCATCTACTGAAATGATCATATGGTTTTTATCTTTTCTCTTTTGGACGTGATATATCACACTGATTGATTTGCAAATATGGAACCACCCTTACATCCCAGGAATAAGTCCTACTTGATGGTGGTAAATTAATTTTTTAATATATTGTTAGATTTCACTTGCTAATATTTTGTTGAGGGTTTTTACATCTATGTTCATTGAGATACTGACCTACAGTTCTTTTTCTTTGTAGTGTCTTTATCTAGTTTTGGTATCAGGGTAATGCTGGCCTCAAAGAATGAGTTGCTTTCTTTCCTCTTCTATTTTTGGAATAGTCTGGGGAGAATGGGTATTTGTTCTTGAAATGTTTGGTAGAATTCACCTGTGAAGCTGTCTGGACCTGGACTTCTGTTTCTTCAGAATTCAATTTAATTGCTGGCCATTGGTCTGTTTAAATTTTCTATTTTTCCTGGTTTAGTCATGGAAGGTTATGTGTGTCTAGGAACTTACCTATTTTTTTTCTAGATTGTCCAATCTGTCAGCATGTAATTTTTCCTAAGAGTCTCATAATGCTTTATACTATGTATATTATGGATCTGTGGCATTGGTTGGTATTACTTTTATTTCTGATTTTACGTCCTCTCTTTTTTTGAGAGAGAGAGAAAATAAGTTGGTAGAGAGGGGAGGCAGAGGGAGAATCAGACTCCCCGCCGAGCAGGGAGCGTGACGCGGGGCTCCATCCTAGGACCCCAGAGATCGTGACCTGAGCTGAAGGCAGCCACGCAGTAGGGTGAGCCGCCAGACACCCCCTCTCTCTTTAATGAGCCTGGCTAATGGGTTGTTGATCTTCAAAGACCTGATTTCATTGATAGGTTTTATTGTTTTTTGTTTCTATTTTGTTTGTTTCTGCTCTAATCTTTATTATTTCCTTTCTTCTGCTGGTTTGGGGTTTTGTTTTTTCTTTCTCTTGCTCCTTCAGAGGTAAGGTTAGGTTGAGATTTTTCTTGGTTCCTGAGGCAGGCTGTATTGCTACAAACTTTCCTCCTAGAGCAGATTTTGGCCCATTGTGTTTCACTTTCATTTGTCTCCGTGTATTGTTATTTCCTCTTTGATTTCCTGGTTGGCCCAGTCATTGTTCAGTAGCGTGTCAGTCAACCTCGGCGTATTTGTTCTTTCCTGGAGTTTCTCCTGAGATTGACTTCTAGTGTCATTGCTTTGTGGGTTGGAAAAAGATGCACGGTTTTATTTCAATTCTTTCTGAGTTTTTGGTCTAATATGTGATCTATCCTGGAGAATGTTCCATGTGCACCTGAACATGGATGGAATGTTCTGGATATATTGGTCATGGATCTGCCTGGTCTAATGTGTCATTTACAGCCATTGTTTTATTGCTGATTTTGTGTGTGGATGATGGATCACTGCTCTAAGTGCACGGTCAAGTCCTCTACTATTGCTGTATTACCATTGATTATTTCCTTTACATTTGTTAATTAGCTGCTTTACATTCCCACAGTTTGGTGCGCAAATAGTTAAAATTGTTATAGCTTGTTGGATTGTTTCCTTTATGACTATGTACTGTCCTTCTGTTTCTTGTTACAGTCTTTTGGTTTAAAGTCTATTTTGTCTTATACAAGTATTGCTACCCTGGCTTTCTGTTCACACCTATTTGCATGATAAATGCTTTTCCATCTCTTTACTCTGTCTGCATATCTTTAGGTCTGAAATAAATCTGCTGGAGGCAGCATATAGATGGGTCTTAATTTTTTATCTAATCTGCCACCCTATGTCTTCTCATTGTTTAGTACATTTACATTCAAAATAATTGTTGATAGGTATGCATTCATGGCCATTTTGTTGTTTTGCAGTTTTTCTGTTCCTTCCTTCCCTTGTTCTCTCACATTAATTGGCTTTACTTTTTTTTTTTTGCCTATTACAAGTTTCTGATTTGTCGTTACCATTAGGTTATATATAACACCTTATGCATACAGAATTCTTTATTAAGTTAATGGTCGCTTAAGTTTGAACCCCTTCTAAAAGCACTAAATTTTTATTCCTCTTGTCCCCAAATTTTAGGTAGATGTTGTCACGCTAAATATCCTTTTATTGTGTGGAATCCATTGATGGATTTTTATAGATACACTCAATATTACTGCTCTTGTGTTTCCTACTCTTCTGACTCCTGCTTATGGTCTTTCCTTTCCACTCAAGGAATCCCCTTTTGCGTTTCTTGTAGGGCTGCTTTAACGGTGATGAATTCTTTTGTGGGTCTGGGAAAGTCTTTACCTCTGCTTCTATTCTGAATAAAAGCCTTGCTGCATATTCTCGGTTGCAGGTTTTTTCCCTTTCAGCACTATGAATGTATCATGCCACACCCTTGGGGCCTACAAACTTTCTGCTGAGAAATCAACTGGTAGCCTTTCGGGGGTTCCCTTTTATGTAACAGTTTTCTTTTGCTGCTGTAAAAATGCTCTGAAGATCACTACTTCGTGGCATTTTAATTACTGTGTGTCTTGATATGGGCATCCTTCAGTTGATTTTGCTGGGGCTCTCTGCCTCCTGGATCTGGATTTCTTTTTTTCTTTTTTTTTTTTTAGATTTTATTTATTTATTTGACAGATCACAAGTAGGCAGAGAGCCTGATGTGGGGCTCTATCCCAGGACCCTGAGATCATGACCTGAGCCGAAGGCAGAGGCTTTAACCCACTGAGCCACCCAGGCACCCCTAGATCTGGATTTCTGTTTCCTTCCCCAGATTTAGGAAGTTTTTCTGCTATTTATTCAAAGAAATTTTCTGCCCCCTTTTCTTTCTCTTCCTCTTCTGGGTCCCCATGAAATGTTTATTATACTTGATGGTGTCACTGAGTTCCCTCAACTTATTCTCATTAGTCTTATTTTTTTTTCCCTCTTGATTCAGCTTGATTGCTTGCCATTACTCTGTTCTCCAGGTCACTGATCTGTTCTTCCTCTTTTTATTCCCTTTAGTGAATTTTTAATTTTAGTTACTGAGTTATCACTGGTTGGTTCTTTATGTTTCTCTTTGCTGAGGGTGCCCACTCTTTTCTCAAGTCCAGTTAGTATCTTTATTGCTCTTATTTTAAATTATCCATCAAGCTTATTATCCTCTTTCCCACTTAGATCTGTTAGGATTCTGTCTTGTTCTTTCATTTGGGACATGCTCCTCTACCTCCTCATTTTGTCTCTGTGTTTGGAAATTCAGTTATGTCTCTGCTCTTAAAAGCAGTGGCCGTGCAATACTGGTACACAAGAACCTGGTGCTGTGGGGTCTCCTGGGGGTGCTGCTGTGTTTGCCTTCAGTCAGGCATCTGAAATGGCTCTCTCTGCCTGTTGTGGGTAGAGTTTGGTCTATGTTAGGAGTGGGTCTGTCTGAGGCTTGAGTTGGGTCAGACCAGACAACTGCTGAGGCCACAGCTGAACTGGTATGTGTGGTTTTCTTTCCCTCTCCCTGGGGCAGGAGTCACTTTGGGGTGGTGCCACCCAGGCACCCCTAAGCCCACTGATTTTTCAAGTTCCGGGTTATAAGCCCCACTGAGCGTAAGAAGTTAAATCTCTGTTTTTCAAAGCCAAGTGTTATGGGGATTTGTCTTCCTGGTGTGGGGTCTGCTCCCCTTCCCTGTGTCTGCTGTGTCCCTCCCCACCCTCTTGGATGTGGCATGTATGTATATGCTTTCAATAAATTTGCAAAACTTCTAGCCATTGTATTTTCTTTTTTTTTTTGCCCTACAAGAATTTTTTCTACCCAGAGAGAATATGAAGGGCAGACCACAGTGTAAAAGCTGTTAAGAGAAAGTCGTTAGCCCAGGATTCTAAAGCCAGTGAAAACATTCTGCAGGAAGGAATGCAAAGGCATTTTCAGATAAGGGAAGCTGATCAAATTACTGGTAAGCCTGTAAGGCAAGCTGTGCTCCACAAGGACAGAATTTCACTTAGCTCTCTACTTCCTGGTGGTCACTCCCTTGCCTCTAATGGTCTTACTGTATTTCTCTCTCAAGGAACTTATAAGAGGCTGCATCTCACCTGAGAGAAGTATTCTTCGGAGATGCGTGCGGCCCACTCAATGCACTGCTCCAGGGGCCGGCAGGGGTTGGACACATCCGCGCACTTGATCAGCATCCGCTTAACCAGAGTCCGGTTCTCTGGGGTCCTGAGCATGGTGGTCACGGCTTCTTCATCTCTAGCCACTTCCTGAAACATGGGAGAATGTGATCAAAGTGGGTTCCCTGGTACCGAGCCCCTGTCTTACAGGTGTGGCCCCACTGTACACATCAGAAGGCCCTGACCAGAATCGACAAGTGAAATGCTTCATGGAACAGTGAGGAGTATAATCTGAGCCTTGAGCTCAGCCCCTCACTTGACAAAAAGGGAAACTAAGGCCCAGTGAGATCCTAGCAGGACCCAAGTGTAGAGGGTAGCACTGGCGGTCGGTCTTTGTACCCCTCCCCCTTCCGGGCTCTTCTCTCCTTCCCACTACAGATAGTGAAATGAAACTTCTTTGTTCTAGCTCTACTGCTCTCCCGTGGGACAGGAGTGTTTATTATACCGCCTTAATAAAAGAAGTTAAGTTTAAACATAAAAGGTTTCTCTGCCCTCTCACCAGAAGGGACCTGCAGTGCACCAGGCTCCCTGCCCTGCACAACCCAACCCCCACCCAGTCCCATGAGAGCTGTGATCGTGAGAATTAGCAGCAGCCGAGGATCAGTCTATCAAGATTGTCAGAGGCAGTGTTACTTCATAATTGTCATTCTCTTTTGATCTTCACTCACAAAAACTTACAGTCGGCATGAAAAGCAGTATCATTTACTATTGTATCTTATAGATGAGGACACTGGGACCCAGAGAGGCGAAGAGACTTGTCCAGAGCTACCCAGCTAACCCAGGATAAGAACTTCAGGTCTACCTTTAGTTCTGGGCTCTGTCTGTCCACAGTATCACATGCTGTCTGGGTTAAAGGAACACCACTGGCATGGATTCTGAACCTGTGGTCTAACGGGCTAGGTGGCTAAGCCCCCTGAAGCAAATTCAGGTTGGAAGAGGGAGCATTAGGGCAAAGAGCACTGTCAGAGACAGCAACCAGCTAGTCTCCTCACGCTTGCCAGAGAGCTTAGCTGTGTGATTTCAGTGAGTAACCACAATGGTCTAAAAAGGCCTGATGGGAACAGATATGCCATTAAAATGCCCATCCAGAGCCCAGGCTGCCTGTTCCCCGGGAGAGTGCCACAGTGCACATGGCCAAGGCTGCCTTGATAGGTCCCCTTGCCCCCAGTTTCCCAGCACCAGCCACTTCGTGTTGACCCTTCTCTCTCCAGCTGTGTGACTACAGTTCAGTCCTCGCAGCTGTAAACTACTTTCTTTCCTAGGACTCTGTCCCTCCTCTGCCTGCTCACCAGGTTGATTTCCAGTCTCAGAAGTAACCCCAAGTCCTTACGGAGGAGAGCTAGAACAGAGTATTCAGCTGGAACCTGGGGCCTACCCCGACCTGGCCCGAGCAGGGGCCTGGTTGACATGCTATCCAGGATGTCAGAGCTACTAAAAGAGGTTGGTGGCAGTGCTGCCACACTGGAAGACTGTGGAAAGGAAGTGAAGTCAGAAGCAGAGCCGGAGGACAGGGGTGGGTGAAGGAAGCAGAGTTCCCAGTGGGTTTCAAATCGGGTTGAAGAGGAACCAGTATGAAGGGGGTAATAAGCTAGAAAGCCGGGGACAAAGGCCATAACCAGATGAGATACAGGAGTCAAGTGGGGTCAGAATTTAAGGACTGGTGATCCTAGCCTCACAGGGTAAACCATCCCTGTGCCTGGTCAGACTCTTAGGACGGTGACAGGAGGGGGAGGAGAAGACCAGGAGCTGGGGCCAAGGTGTTCGGTGGCTGTGGGGTAGGCGGCAGGGCCTCGAAGGAAGAGGGTTCATGAAAACAGATGCTGCAGGTGCGGATCTCACCACACCTTGTCCCACGCCCACCTGTCCTGTGCCCTCAGCTTCATTCCGCCCATTCTACAGCCAAGGAAATGGGGAAGCACAACTGGGATGGGAACTCCACTGTCTGCTTCCTTGGCTGTCTCCTGCCGGGCCAGAGGTTTCAGGTCGCCCTTGCCGGGCAGTTTTTGTGGACTCCAGGCCTCAAGTCCAGAAATGATGTCCAACAATACCATCACCCTTGGGACCAAAGTGCAGGGTTTTTCTCAACGCCCCCGCCCCCACCCCGCCGGCATTATGGAGACCAGCATGGGAGAGTGGATGCTGCCACAGCAGGTGCACAGCGAGGGTCGGGGGGAGACCTCAAGAAGTCCAGCTGACCCCGGGATGCCCGGGGGGGGAGGGGCGGGTGGGAGAATGCGTACGGGCACAGTCCCCCCACAAGTCAGCTCCAGTTTCCACGTCTACTTCTGGAGGTCTTTTTTCCTGACACGCTTGTATACTTTAATTTTTCAACCACTGGAAATTAAATCCAAGGGACCTACCGGTGGCCTTCCACAGCTCATCACCTCTTCCACTCCGTTTCCCCACAACACACAGGAACGAGGGACCCACACACAGGCTCTCCTCCTTACCCCATCTGCTTCGAGGGCTGCCAGGGGCTTGTTGATGCTGTTGACAAATTTGTTGACGTGCTCGAAGTGCTTTGTCATTTCTGTGGCTAAGACCATGTCGATAACCCCCTGACGCAGCGTCCGGTAGTCGTTCCTGTTTCAGACGGCAAACGAGAGGGAGCTACAGCGGACTCGTCCAGGCCAGACAGATGCTCCTCCCAACAGTCGGTATCCAGGACAGCACCCGCTGTGCTGAAATTCTAGCACGGCAGGAAGTCCCGGGGCACACTTGAAAGCAAGATCATTAGCAAGGGGAACCTGAGCGGAGGTTAAAATCACGACTTTACAGGTGTGATGTTCGTCCTTCTGGGGCATAAGGCACATAATTCTTAGAGCAAGAGAACATGGTGGGGTGAACAAGGGCAGACATCGGTGGTTATGACGAATGTACCGAGAGGGGCCTTGAGATCCAGCAACTGCGGCGCCCGGACGCTGAGAGGGTAGACAGGCAAGAGTTGCGTCCCTCTCCCTCCAGCCCTTGTTTCCACTTAGTCATTTTGTGACATTAGCTCTGTTCAACCCCTTTTCTCCAGTCACCCCATTGCTTTCCCAGGGGACAACCCAGGTGACCGGGTCCTGTGTATTATTCCAGAGCTAACCGATGTCTGTACCAGCAACTCTGAATAAAGCCTCCTGCAATTCCAGAACATGGCAAAAGAGTTCTGTAAAATCAGGAATCTTTAAAAATCTCCCTATAAAACGTTTCTTACCAATCCAAATTAATGTCTTCGACCTGGTATTTATGAAGTCCCTCCCACAGACCGTGCCAGACACAGAGGGTACAGAAAGGAACGAAGGGCAGTGGCTACCGTGGCCGTACGGAACCTCAGAATCAAATCAGACATGAGCCAAGTAATGAAAATGATGACTGAAACATGGTAAGGGCTGTGAAGGAACCTGGCGCTGAATAACTAGCACGAGGGGTCAGGGAAGGCTTCCTCGCAGTAACACGTGAACACCGACAACGCCGAGAAGCGGGCTGGGCCCAGGAGGGCGGAGTGGAGCGCTCGGAGCAGAGACGGAAGAGGACAGCTTCTCTGAGTCTCGAGAAGCTCAAGATGTCAGCATCGTACTTTGTCATCTTGAAATGTCAAGACATAAAAGAGCTGAACCTTGAAAGCATCGTGCTAAGAGAAAGGAGCCAGTCCCAAGAGACCACACATCGGGGGCGCTTCTGTTTATGAGGACATGTGTGGAACTGGCAGATCCACGGAGACAGAAGGTGCCTCCGTGGGTGCCTGCGGCTGGGGGACTTGAGTGGGACCCGGGAAGGGACTGTCAACGAGTCTGAGGTGCTTTCTGGGGAGGATGGAAACATGCCTAAGTTGACTGGGGTGACGGCCGCACAACTGGAACTATCCTGACAGCCACTGCACACATGCAAGGAGAGAACTCCAGACCATGCGACCTGTACCTCAGGGACCAGCGTGCTCCCCCGCCCAGCGCTCTCACCTCTCCATGTTCTTGAAGATATTGCATTTGTCATCTCGGGTGGTCAGCTGGAAGGCCAAGGCCGCGTGGTGGCTCTCCAGCACAGCAGTGTCATTATACAAAATGGCCAGCTCGCTTCCAGCATTGCACAGGAACGAGTTGGTTCTCCCGGGGTGGTCCACATCGTGGATGGTGGCTGCGATGAGGGCCGCGACCTCGTCGACCGGATCTAAAGTTTGCTGCAAATGAGAGTCCTTTTAAAAACGTGGGCACGGCCCTGGAAGCAGGGAAGCCTTCTGGAGAGTTTTCCTGCTGCCCTACCACATGAAGGGAAAAATATCCCCGATTTCTGAGAAAAGCACACTGTTAAGCAAATCCTGTGTCCCTACCTCCCCTGAGCAGCGGCTGCATGTTTGTACTTGTAAATTAGGGACCATCACTGATTCCTGGTCTCACACACGTTACACACAAGTCCGAAGTGTCCTCCGCACACAGGGGTCACCTCCTCAGCCAGCCTAGCTCTCGACCCATCACAAAAAGTCTGAGATATTGGTCCCCCTGCTGGTGCTCTGTCAGGATGAGGTCAGCCTTTTGTGAGTTTGGTAAAATTATCTGAAAGTTCTCCATTATTTTCAAGTCTTTTCATGGCAGGCGTTTAATGGATTTGCCACCCAGCCACCCCGTGGGTGACACTTTTTCATTTAACCTTCAGTTACTAAATTCTAGTTTTGTTCTGTGAAGGTTAAAAAATGTACCTATGAAATTCTGACGTTTATCATGACATTCGTTGTGTCCTAGAAGCTTATTTTTGGAAATACACTACGGACACTTGAAGGTATATTTATAAATCTGTATTTATTTAAATTGAAATTCAATAGTTTTAACTTTAAATTAGTGAACTGTATATGACTTCTAGCTTGATAAATGCTGTTTAAGTTAGCTTTCTAAGTGCGTATTTGCATGTTATAGTAGTTCAAAACAATTATAAAAAAATCGGGCTGTCTTTATATTCTGATCCATATTGACACAGACACCCCCCAAATTTGTTTTCGTGCTCTATAACCGGTCCTCTCTGGACTCCCAATTCTGCCTGCAGTGTTGGTCCTGAGCTTTCCTTTTAAAACTAGAGGGAGCAGCAAAAGGGCAAGTGAAAGACCCAGCTCGTCTGACCTCTGGGGCCCAGACTTCGCTGCTCCGTGTGTCCTTGTGCTGTTACCCTTCACGCTGTCCTCTCCCCTGCACTAGTCCCCTGTCGCAGAGGATGAAAGGGATCGAAATGGGAACAGCAAATGTGTGCCCTCTCTGCCTGACGGTGGCTCTGTGGGGCCGTCCCCAGATGCCAGGACACCAGGCAATGACACGGCACCGTCTCCCCCATCAAGAAGCCCTGTTCTCAGACACAAAACCCATGGTTGGATCCTTCTACTCTCAAGTTCTTCTGAAAGTGAAATGGTGATGCCACAGCGCTCCCTGGCCCCTCTGACCCACTTCGGAAGCGTGTGGATGGAAGGGGCACGAATACTTCGGAAGTTCTGTGCAAGTCCGGCTGCTGCTTTGAAAATCTCCCTCGAGAAATCACTTACAACGTGGAGAGCTTTCTCAGGAACTGGCTTTGGGGGTGGACAGTCACATTCCACAACGGAAACCTTCCTTCTGGGAAACTCTTCTCATCCCTCTTTTTCTTCCTGCCTCAAAGCTGGGGCTGGAGTTGCCAGACAGCACCCCAGGGGTACTCTGAGCCAGGTGACCAGCCACAGTAGGGGCCAGTGGCACCTGCACAGACTCGGCGGAGCAGGACAGACCAACTGTGCAATGCAGCACCTGGACCAGTTAGCAGAAGTCCGAGTACCTGGACGCAGTCATCCTAGGAGCAGCCCCACGTGAGGGGCACACGGAAAAGGGGCATCGAGATCAGTATCGGGGCTGGGGGGACAGTCCAGGAAGTTTCCCCGGAGAAACAAAGGCTGGGATGGATCACTGAAGGGCAGCTGGGACACAGGGAGCCTGGAGCAGCAAAGGGAACAGCACGGCCAGGGCAGGAGTGTCGGGAACCGCAGGGGTTTAGCGTGGCCCACGAGGGGCCTGGGTGTCGGAAGCCTTGACCAACCCTACTGCTTCAGACCTGCAGGGGGCAGGGAGCCACTGCTGGAAACAGCATGGTCCGCTGTGCTGGCAGCGGTGTGGGGGAGTTCCACGGGAGGCCTGGGCAGAAGGGCTCCAGTGTTCCCCGGGAGAGGAGAAAGCAGGGCCCTCGCTAGGACAGCAGCAGGGGCGTCACAAGGTGGGCTCCGGGTGACAAAGTCACAGACCTACTGGATGACTTGGGCTTGGGGAGAGGAGAGAACAGCAAATGCTTCCAGGTTTCTGACCTGTGTGTCCTTGGCTGATGGAACTCCAGCCGGGGCCAGCAAGCCCAGGTGGGAGCAGCACTGGGCGAGGATGAACTTGGCCTTCAACCTCGCTGACACAGAGGGATGGGCTGGGGGTGCCTAGGGTCTGTGGGCTCATGGGGCACCTACAGACACATTGCTGCCAACTAACCATTCTGGCGGGTTTCCTCCCCGCTGCTCACACTCTCACCAAAGAGCTGGGCTCGCGTCATGAGTTAACCCCTCAGATCCACGAGCTGCAATGCAGCCTGCTGGCCTACTTCCCCTGCGGCGGCACCCTCCCAGGGCCGGCGGGGGTGGGGTGCGGCGGAGGGGGCAGACAGGTGGGGATCCCCAGGGCAGTGCCCCCCGCAGAGCACCCCGTGGAGGTGGAGGCCGCCGGCTGCTGCCCCAGCCCTCCAAGCCCGGTACGCCCACACAGCTCACCTTTATCCTCTCTTTGCACAGAAAGTAGGCAGTGGCGTGAAGCACGTCGGCAGAGTGTGTCGAGTTGTGGTAGGGGTTGGAAGAGTGGTAATTGGCTTCAATGACCTGCAACCACGATCGCAGCGTCGTCTCGGAGCAGTTCAAGAATTCACAGATTCCAAAGCGAGCAAACATTTTGAGACCAAGATAAATCAAAGGCCTGCAGAGTAAAACATGCCCGGCCTTAAAACAAAGGAACAGGCCAAGTGTTGGGAGCCCTGAAGAGGTTGAGACCCAACCCGTGGAGAGGAGCCAGCCTTCAGAGAGCGTGCGGGCAGCAAGGGGGGCTCGCCCGAGTGGTGCAGGACGGGGGCGCCCTTTCTCCCAGCAGCTGCCAACCGCGGCCGGCGCCCAGGCCCAGCTCTCCATCCGTGCTCCCCACGGGCTGGGGTGAGGTGTGTTCACCGCCCCCCTTCCTCATTCAGACTTCCGCTTGCACCAGCAGATTTCTCAAAATCAATGTGATGCCAGGCTTGAACCCTAGCCTCGCCCTTGCTCTTGCTGGACCCATGTTATTGGCCAGAGGCCCTTCTAGAAGCAAGTAGCACTTTTTGAAAGCGGCATGGTCACCTGCCATGGTGGAGGCCACAGCGTGAGGAGGTCTTCCCTGAGAAGGTGACCCACAGGCCACCAAGTCGCGCCCTTCCTTGAGAAGTTACCTCAAGGGCGCCTGGGTGGCTCAGTGGGTTAAGCCGCTGTCTTTGGCTCAGGTCATGATCTCAGGGTCCTGGGATCGAGTCCCGCATCGGGCTCTCTGCTCATCAGGGAGCCTGCTTCCCTCTCTCTCTCTGCCTGCCTCTCTGCCTACTTGTGATCTCTGTCTGTCAAATAAATAATAAAAAAATCTTAAAAAAAAAAAAAAAAAAAAAAGAAGAAGTTACCTCAATCCAGCATCTGGCCTTCAGCTTGGAAGGTCCAGGAACGGCTCTGCTGAGGCAGGGTCCTGAGGCCAGCAGGCTCACAGGGTTTGAACCGACCTGCCTTGGCCTGATTCCCATGAATGCAATGTCACAGCCTGTGGGCCAGGGGCTCAGATTCGTTTGCTATCCTTTCTACTGTCCTTGCCCATGTAGGGTACACGGGAATAATATACCAGGCTGACTCCTGGTGAGCACAAGGAAAGGGCACGGCTGTCTTGGGGACAGTCTCTGGGACAGAGCAGAAGGAGATCTGAAGAGTTAGCTATCCCGTGGCCCCACAGAGCACACCTCTCCCATGGCTGCCCTCTGGCCTGGCCAGGTTCAGGGCCCCACCACCTGACAGGGCAGCCTTCCCTGTGTGCCAAGTCAATAACACCCCTAGGGCCAACTGCTCTTTTCCAGCAAGGTACAAACCAGAAGATAAAAATCCAATCCCACCCCTACTCCCTGTGAGCACACCCGCATCAGGATGACTGGAATTCTGGGTGTGTCTCCGGGACCGTCACCAACACAGCAACTGCGATCTGGGGACAGCTCTTAGCAAATGTGTCTGTTTCTTACTGAGTTCTAGCCTCTGAGTGGGACTCTGTGCTGCTGTCTCAGCAAATCACCGCGTACAGGAAAACTAATACTCGTATTTCATAGGAGAAACCTGTGCCACTTGGAGAGGGTAGGTCACCTGCCCTGAATCTGCTGTCTCTGTGGGAGTCGTGACCCGGCCGCCCTTCCTGATCCTGCGGAGGCCCAGGCTGTCAGGGGCACCCACTGCCCAGCTCCTCTTTCTAGAGCCGCCGCCTCTGATGCTTCGGCTCTGGGAGAACCACACTCCTTGGACGGCTTTCTCCACAGAGGCCCTCGGAGCCACACCGTGTGTCTTGCGGGCGGACTCACCTCTTATGTGTGGCGGCCTCTAGTTCAAAAATATTGAAGTCCCAGTACTCCTCGTTCTCCATGGCCCGCGCGATCCGCGGGGGGACGTCGTGAAGGGAGATGGGTGTGATCACACTGCTGGGCAGCTGCTGAAGGCCTGCATGGGGACGTGGTTTGGGGACAGAGTTAACAGGCTTTACAGGACTTGCTGCTTCGGGGCAGCTGCTTCGTTCCTGCAGTCTGTAGGACATACTGAGAAACTTGTTGCTAATGAGAAGAACTGACTGAAAACCTGACTGGAAAATCTGTTCTCATCATTTCAGTGTCACTATAGTATTAACAGTGCTCCAGAAAGTTAAGAAGTTAAAACTTACTTTTTGTTGAAAGAACATACTCATTCCCGGACAGTCTTCGCAAACCATCCTGATAAAAATCAAGGAGACAAGAAGAGAAGTCATAACTGCTCTTTACTTCTTGAGAACAGTGGGACAGTCGGCTCCCAAGGAGAGCGGAGGGCAGCCTCTCCACCCCGGCGCCCGGAGCTCCCCTGTGGGGACAGGACTCAGTCACCGGACGTCGGGAAAACCGGCTAAGCTCGGGGGCCGCAGAAGCGAGGCGAGCTTAGGCAAGGCCCCAAAGCCCAGCATCACTGGCAGCCCTCAGGTCTCTGCTCCAGCGTCTCCTGGACAACTGGCCTCTACCCTCGAGCCTCCCCCGCCACTTCTTGCCACCCTTCTTACCACCCGGGACATCCACTTCCTCTGGCAAAGTGGATTCTTCTAGGCCTTGCACACTCACCGAGCCCCCTCGCTGCTTCTCAGGCTGAGAGCCCTCACACCACGGCAGGAGCCTCTAGCGCCCTCCCTCGCACCTCTCCTCTCTTCCCCCTCACCCCATGACATGATCGCACTCCACCCCACTCACTTTCATCCCTCACCTACAGGCTGGAGGTGCAGGCAAGACCGTGGTTGGGCATGACCGTCCCTGGAACCACTACACCACAGCTCACTGCCTACAACCTTGTTTTTAAGAAGTCAAGTGAGCTTCAGAAAGCAGACACTGGGAGGAAAGAGGAGTTGGTTTTGGTTTTTTTTGGTGCTAGCGAGGAGGTGAATTTTCCTTCTGACCAAGACAAGAGGTGACGGACAGCAACAGGATGACCGGTTTCCCACAAAGCAGACCACTCTGCGGGATGGGCTGAGGCCTCCAGGACCTCTGAGCGCCCATGGTCCAAAGCACCAAACCTGCACACGATGTTCTGGAAAGACACCAGACCCCACCCCTGGGGCCCTTCACGCGTACGTGGTCTTTCTGTTTCCTCGTTTGGTATGGAACATTTCACATACCTATTTCTTCTGCCCTAGTTTTCAAAAATCTTTAAAATAATGAAGTTTTACTTAATTTCCCCCTAGGGGCCCTAAGCAAACATGGAGAGCCCAGCCCAGCAGACTGTCTAGAATATGCTCCCCCCTTCTCTGCTTCAAGCTGGGGTCTCCCTGGGCGGCAGGCCACAGGTGGGCGAGCAGGGGGGCTCTGGCTGACAGCAGGTTTGGGCCTCAGCTGCGCCCTGCCCACAACGCTCTGCGCAGGCCAGCCAGTACCCAGATGACCCCTGGGAACACAGACAACATCAGGAGGCTCTAGCCAGCAGCCGGCCAACTGTACTTACAGACACTAAGCCCCCAACGAGGTCGTTGGCATGAGGATCGTCATCCTTAGCACCAAACTGCGGTGAGTATAACTCAGTGGTTCTCAGAATTTCCAGCACACGGTCTAAGGCTTCTGTCACAGGCATGGGGCTGCTTTCCTGGGCAGCATTGATAATGTTGATGACCTACACGGTAGAGAAAAGACATGAGTTTCGTAACCTCACAAATAGTGGGAAAGCAACCCGGAGGGGCAGGCTGGACACAGTGCTCAGGCTAACTTGGGACTAGCCTCAGTGTTCATGTCCCACATACCCTCTCCTTAGAGAAGCCCACTCCCTACAACTGGGGGGGCATTATTATGGCTGCGGGCCTGCTTCCTCTCAAGAGAAACCCTCAACCCCGGGAGCAAGGGCCTTCCGTGTGGGCTCGGGGGAAGAGTGGCCACAACTGCCCCACCTTGGTGATGGGCGCCTCGATCGTCATGGAATGTATCCGGGCCATGGAGGAGTGTCGTCTCTGGCTGCCACCTGAGGAGAGACCACATGACGCACAGATCAGGGTACGTATGGCCCAGGCACCTGTGTGTTGACCACTGAGGGCTCTGGGCCCTCCCTGGCTCCCCCCTCCCCCCCAGGCCTCCGCGGGCCCAGCTGCATGATGAAGGGGCGGGACCGGAACTGCGCGTCCAGCACGGCGGCCACCCCATCCCTGCAAGCCCGGGGTTCTGGCAGAACCAACTGTGCTTCCTTCAGTCCTAGGCACTAGGATGCACGTGCCCCCGCCCAGACTGCGCTTCTGATGTCACAGGCCAGAGGAAAAACAGAGGAAACAATCTAGCAAGTCAAGGCCAAACAGTTAGCCTCTTTCTGCATTTATAACAATAAGGCTTTTAATATTGAGCTTGCCACTATCCAGGAGCGAAAAGGTTCTAGAAGACAATGCCACACAGGCTCTTTGTTTCATACGTGGCAGGAGCAATAAAGACAATTTCCCATTAACTGAAATACAGGAGTTTTTGTTTAAATTTCTCAAGGCACCTTTTGGCGCTCTCCGCAGTGACGCTTAATCTACTGGAGATAGGCGGCCAGTCTGAGGCTCTGAGCGCGCTCATGTTCTGTTGCTCCTGTCCAGACACGGCTCCTCCGGGGTAAAGCAAAGGCCGGGCAGTGTCCAGGCAGGAAGAAAACACACACATAGAGTTCTGTGTGTCTGCCTGAAAGGCCCACTGTCAGGCCACATGCTGTTTACCACACGCAGCCCCACAGCCTGATGCGTCAGCCTTGGTTCCCCAAACCGAGGTGTGAGCAGCAGTGGAGAGCACGGTTCGCACACTCGGGGTTCTGAAGTGCTTTCAACCTGGGGACCCACATCACTGCTTACCTCTCATTTTGGTGACCAGCATGTGGTTGCCAGTTTTCTGTTCTACCCGGTAAGGTCATCGAACCAAAAATAAAAACCACTGTTTTGTCGCTACATCATGAAAGGAGCTGTTCTCATTTAAAACCATCATGAAAGGGACATAGGCTTATAAAAATGAAGCAACAGTATGAGTACAGTGAGGAGAACTTCGGGGCACAGTCTGCCCTGACTATGCAGAAAGTCCAAATGAATCTGCAAACGTTGCCCCAACAACTGGTGACCAAGTTTATTGAGGTTACTGGGAACGGCAGCAGTCTAGTAGACAACAGTCAATTCTAGTTCCACACGAGCAACAAACCATTAGAAACGGAAATAGAAAACACCAATGTGAAATCATCAAAACCCACCAATATTTAGGAATATATGTAAGACAAGACATGTAGGATTTACACACTGAAAACGCAAAACACTACTGAGAGAAAATAAAAGCGACCTGAAGGGAGACACAGAAGGCACCCGAGGTTTGAAAGACTCAGTATCACTGAAATTTCCTCTTTCCCTAAATTGATCTACAGATTCGAGACAGTCCCAGATACAACCCCAGGAGGCAGTGAGTGTGTAAACTCACAAGCTGATGCTAACTGTGGAATGGAAACACAGAGGGTCTCGCAAGCCAAGACAACCGTGAGCAACAGGAACTCCTACCGGAGAGGCCACAGCAATCGATGGTGGTATCAGGGCACATGCAGACTGACAGAACAAGGAAAACCGAGGAGTCCAGAAAATGACCACATATTTATAGTCATCTAATTACGATCATGGCACTGCTGCAAAAGATGTTTTTTTTCCCATATGGTGATGGATTTCCATGTGGGGGGAAAATTCATCCTTGATCCCTATGCTCACCAGATATAAGAATTTGAAATGAATCACAGACCTAAGCTGAGAGATAAAACCATAAAGCTTCTACAAGAAAACACGGGAGAATATCTTCATGACCTTGGGCTAGAGGAAGGTTTCTTGAACAGGACACAAAAAAGCACCAGCTAGAATAGAAAATGATAAAATAAGCTTCACTGAAACTAACAACTCCTGTTCACATTAAAGGCCATCAAGAGAGCGAAAAGGCAAACCACGGACTAACAAAATATACTTGTGCTGCACGGAATCCAACAGATCCACGTCTAGAATGAAGAATTCCTACCAACCAGCGAGATAATCCAACTATAAAAACAGGCAAGATACGTGAACAGCACTTCACAAGAGAATGTCAAAATGGTCTGTAAGCGTATGAAAGAGGTACCCCACCTCATTCATCATCAGGAAAGTTAAAATTGAAACCATATCCACCAGAATGGCTGAAACATGAAATGCCGAGATAACCAAGTCTGGTAGGTCTCAGAGCAACGGGACCACGCATACACGTCAGCAGTGGGCAGAACGTGGGACAGCACATCGTGGGGAGACGGCTGCAGCTGCCCAGACGCCCAGCAGTTCCACTTCTAGGCAGGACAGGACCGCCTACAAACCTCCACGCAGCCTTATTCTTACCAGCGCCGAAGTGGGAAGAGAACACGCGCCCGTGAATGAGAAAGGATCAGCAGCAGCCCCTCCCTCCAGCAGAGCTCTGTGGCACAGCAGAAAGGACCAACTCCTGGCCCGTCTGACCACACGGAGGGATCTCAAGAACACTGAGGCAAAGAAGCCAGAGGCTGGGTGTGCAGGCTGAACAACCCCACGTCTCTGAAGCACAAGAAGAGGCCAAGCGGGCTTGTGGCGGGTGCTGGCGACCTGGGGGCTGCTTCGGGGTGGTACAGGCTGTGTGCTTTCTGTATCTGCTTTGGGTGGTGGTTACCCAAGTGTATGGAACTGTCAAAACTCATGGAACCACTTAATACCTGAATTTCACTGTGCAAACGGTAACTCCGTTAAAACGAGTAGTGATTAAAAACCAGAAACATGGGGAGCCTGGGTGGCTCTGTCGGTTGTGTGGCCCACTCTTGATTTTGGCTCAGGTCATGATCTTAGGGTCCTGGGATTGAGCCCCAAGTGGGGCTCTGCCCTCAGCTGCGGAGTCTGCTTGTGGATTCTCTCCTTCTCCCTCTGCCGCCCCCCTGCTCCAGTCCCCTCCCTCTTTGTCTCAAACAAATAATCTTAAAAAAAAAAAAACCAAAAACCCAAAATACTAAAATAAACTGTTTACCTCTTAAAAATACAGAAACAGACCAAGTCATCCCAAGGACGAATATTAAGAAGAACATGGGAGGAAGACTGTTGTGGGTGGGGATGACCCTGTCCCTGCCCCTACTCTGCCCAAGAGCCATGGGGGTGCACAAGTGAGGGCCATAATGAAGAAGGTGGTGGCAGCTACCGCCCCCCTCCCTTGCCAGGCACCCTCATGTAACGGTCACACAGCCCTCCATGGGCAGCATAAAACTGTTCCCATTTCACGGTGAGGAAATGGAAGCACAGAAGTCTACCCCCAAGGTTGCACACAAAGTAGATGACCTTGGAACTGGAATTAAGGTCATTCTGAGGCCAAAGCCCATGCTTTGGCCCCTGACACCACATGGCTCCCCTAGCAGCAGGGTGGGGCCTGTGTTTTCTGAGCCTCAGGACAAACCTGAGGGCACTGGTCTCCAAGGTCGAATCTGAGTTGCTACCTCCCTGGAAAGCTGTGGCTTTTCCCGCGAACGAGCGGACCAACTCCATGTGCTTCCCCATTCCTCTCTGGGTCCAAGACAGCACACGCCCAGCAGGAATATTTGCCTCCACACTGTATTAGTTCAGATCACATATCTATGTAATCTTAAAAAAATTATATTCCAATTAAAAGTTAAATAGTATCTGTTTAGTAAGAGTCTGTCACATGCCCAGAAGTCGCTCACCTCCCCACCAAAAAGTAAGTTTCCAAGGCAAAGTGCCACCCATAATGGAGTATATGAAGAATTTCCAAATGCATTTTGGGTTCCCCACACAATCACAGCAGACACACGGACAGCCTCTGCTGGTAACAGTTTAGAAAATCGACTGTAGGACAGAGGGTAAAATGTGTGTTTTTCTTTATTCCCTAAATCCCATCAAAAGGCTGAGAATGGAGCCCACTGGCAGGGGTCCAAGGAAGGGGAAATGGACACAGGTTGCTAGAGTGTCCCCTCCCCTGTCCTGACCTGCAGGGGGCAGTGACCCAGAGAGGAGACTGGGGACGAATGTCAGGTATTCACGTGTCCAACATTTTCTCCTCTTGTCTTTGTCACCTACCTTCACTTGCTCGAGAAGCAAGAGTTCTGACATCTAGCGAGCTCTTCCTTCTGTCTTTGTGTTTGCCTGACTGATTATCTGTGGAAACAATTACACTATAAATCACCTCTCCAAAAGGATTTTAACAAATTACAAATCTAAAATTTTTCAATAACAAAATTTAGGAATTAGAACACCAATTAAGAAGTCACAAAGTCAACAAAATGCCCAGAGATGAAGATTTTGACCCATGAAGTTTTAAGTGGGGGTGGAAGGGGTGACTTTCTCAAATGTCCCACCTGGTATAGTCATGAACAAAGGCTTTACAGCTTCCAGATTACATCATTATAGAATCCTGTGATGTAAACTGAAAACTCGAAGAGATGAACTCAGGAAAATTTTTCCTATTACACTTCCATATAATTGACTGAAATGGTAAAAAAAAAAAAAAAAAAATTGATTCTCACCCATCCTTACCCAAAGGGGAAATAATTTTTTTTTTTTTACAGCACGTTTTATAAAAATGTCCCAGGGAAGACTGTACCTCTCTTTTCAAGCTATAGGAAACTGTACTATAGGGAGCACTATTTGGGGTCTGCTTCAAATGACAGCTTCTCCCTCTCCCCACTGCCCCTACTTCCTGTGAGCGGTGCCACCAGTTTTCCAGGCTCAAGAGGGGCTTTGACTTTCCCCTTGACCCCGTGCCAGTCAACGACAAGGCAGAGCTGACCTCTCTCCCAGTCCCCTCCTCTGGGCACCTGCTGGGGTACACATGGTGCTGAGCGCCTCCAACCTGTCCCCATTTCACAGACGAGGAAACCGGGAACTGCCCCGCTGAGGAGTGAACACCGAGCTCAACCCTCCCAGCTGCAGGCTGCACCTTCCCTGCCTTCTCCTGGCTGCCTCCCCCGGAGCCCCTGCTCAGCAATAGGATCTGAACAGCCCCCCCATCCCTCCCCCCAGCAAGCAGCGACTTCACTGGTATTTGCTACATTCTCTTCTACGTGGGCACTGACAATGACCTTGTCACTTGTCAAGTCACCTGTCACCTCCTTGATGCTGAAGGACAACCTGACCTATGTATGGTACTAGACACACTGTCTAGTCTTTCTGGAAACTCCGGGTTTGTGTAAGTCCACACTCTCCTGGTTTTCGGTCTCTTTACTCTTCCTCCCTAATTTTCCTGTCTTCAGCCCACCTCCTCATGGTTCCCTCTTCCTTGATCCCGAGGTTCTGTCTTTAGCCCTTCTTGTCTTCCCAGACTACACGTCTCCTCGGGAGATCTCACTTCTTCCTTGAACCAGCTCCTGTGATGCTCTCTCATCCCAGGCTTCTCCTGAGAGCCAGACTCACACCTCAGCCGGCCACCGACCACCAGCCACAGCCCGTCGGACACCCCTTGGCACTTCCGGTGCACTCATCATCGTCCCCCAGATCCGCTTAAGTTGGAAACAAGTCGTAGCCTTCTCCCTTCCTCTCCCTCAACTCCTCAGCAAAATATACGCCTTCAATCTACCCCTGCTCCGTCCCTGTCCTAGCTCAGACACTCGCCATCCTCCTAAGGATTACAATGACAGCCTCCCTCACTGGTCCCGCTGTCCCCAGTGTGATCCTCCTAAACCAAAAATCCGACCAGAGCACGCTCCCAGTGAAGACCGATCAATGGCTCATCATTATTTTGAGGCTACGACTTGAACTCCCCAGTGTGTGCCCGACCCTGGGTACCTGCACCTCCTCTCTCCGGCCACCCAACTATAAACGCTAGTTCGTCTCGCCACCTGCTGTGCCTTGGTACCGACCCCTTACCTCCACCGGGAACGCACCCCTCCCACACTGCCTCCTCCACCGGTGAACGCTCCCTCCTCTCCGAGGTAGCAGTGAAGGTGCGGTGTGGGTACCGTAACCTTTGGGAACGTTCCCCTGATGCCTCCCTGCAGCCCCCAGCATCGCCAGAAGCCCGCTCCTTTCTTGTCTGCCTTCCTCACCAGCTGGGGAGGACACGAGGGCAGAAACAGCCTTCCTTTCCTTCCTTTCTTCCCGAGGGACCGGCTCTGCCTCGCAAGCAGCAGCCGCTCGACAGACACCTGCACCTCCCCGTGCACGGACGGCCCCTGCGCTTGCCGGCTGGCGGTCAAGGACAAGACAGGCCGCTCGTCACGGCCTGCTGCTCACCTCACCTGCTGTAACCTCTCCAGATGCTTACTCCCTAAAACTGGAACACCCCCCACCCCCGCCAGCCAGACACAGAGCCCGGGCTGTCTCCTTCCTGAGCTCCGCCCCCCGCACCCCTCCAGGAGCCGGCTGGGAACATACTAGGGCGCTCCTGCATGCACATCCACTGGGCGCCTCCCCTGTGCTGGGCCCTATGCCAGGCATTAGGGCTGCAAAGACAAATAAGGTCCGGTCCAGGTCCACCATCGGGCTGGGATGCAGGGAAGCCAAGAGCCAAGGTGCAGTAACGGCTCTGAAGGGCGGAAGGAGTCCCGAGGAGAAAAGGCAGGTCCTCCTCTGGGAAGGGGCGGTGAGCAGATGAGGTACGTTTGTAGATGCAGCCAAGCAGAGGAGGAGGCATTTCCAGGAGGAGGAAGCTGCTCGCGCCTACGGAGCAGAGTGTGGCTACGGAGAAGGAAAACGCACCGTGTGCACCAAGGACAGGAATGTGGCAAAAGTGGACGGGGAGAAGCAGGCTTTCGCTTGTACTGAACATTTCAAAGTTACTTCATCTTCCTGCTCTCAACGCCACGCTCAGGTCCCTGCTGGCCGTCGGGGTCCAACAGCACCGTGCAGACCAAGCTCAAGCGGCTGGCATCTGCGGGGGGTAGGGGGCGGCTCTCAGAAGCTGATTTGGGGACCACTGGGGGAAGAATGCAGGGTTCAGAGCCAGGCCGCAAGCCCCAAAGGAGCACGAATCCAGGCCCCTCACCTAGTGAACGCACCCCAAACACCGAGGGCTCGAGGCACCGGGCCGACAAGCGGACAGAAGCCTAAGTAGGCCTCCAGAGACCAGGGCGCGGGCTCAGCACCGCCTGTGACTTCAGCTCTCTGCTTGCGGTCTCCCTTGCCAGGAAGCGCGATCCATCCACACCACCCCATGGCGTGAGCAGGCAAGCCAGGGCCCCATGGAGCAGCCGTGAGGGCAGCAGCGATGTGTGCGAACAGCGGCCACCTTGCTCCCACGGCAGGGGGAGCTCCATCTGGGACACCAGGAGGCCGCGAACCGGTGTCCCGCAGCACTTGCCGGAAACACAGCAGACTTTCAGAGAACTCTCTGCGACCCTTTCAACAGTCCGAGCATTTGGGGAACGCTTGCTCTGCCCTGGGCCCATCGACCCCTGCAAAGCCTGCCGCTGGTCAGCCCTCCTTCCCCCTGGCCTCTCCGCCTCCTCCACCGGAGACAGCCTGCCTGCGCCCAGACGCAGGCTAGACCCCGAGTCCTGCCAGCGGCCGAGGCAGCCTGTGGCCCCGGGCCTGACGCTGGCAGCAGCCCAGAGCACCTGCAAGACACGCTCACGCCCCACGCCATGCTGTGGGGCCACCACCCGTCACCCGACCAGGGGGGCCGTTCCCCGCCCCTCGCCGCAGTCTCTTTGCTACCCTGCCGCTGACCGTGAGACTCGGGGCACACATTTCCCGCCAGCAGAGACTCGCGCTGCCCGGCACACGGAGACTGTGCGCGGAACCCTGGTTGCACGAATGACTTCCACGTCCCCTCACTGTCTGCTACTGCGGGGCTCCCACCCGCAGCGCTCAGTCACCTTGCCACCACCCTCGCCAGGAGTACTGTGCCCCAAGGCTCTGGCCTCTTCGAAGCCATCGCACATCTCCATGGGGCCGTTCCATGCACCCCAGTGGACCAAGCTGAAACCTAACTCGCTTAGCTCTCCCCGCACAAACCCGCTCTTTCTCCCACACTTCTCAGTTCCATTCATGTCACGCAGTGGCCAAGTCAGAAGTTGTGGGGACCTTCTCTAGTGTTCTCCCTTCATCCGTCGTACTACAGGTTATCCTGAAGTACCTCGGCAGGTCTGTCTCTCTGCCTTTTTTCTCCACACCATCACCATGACTATCTTTCCTAGAAGGGTCCCCTTTTCATGTACCTATTTAGGGAGACTCCTCGGCCCTCCTCTGCTTACAGGATGCAATCCAAGCTGGCCTGACCCAGCCTTGCCTGTCCTGACGGCTTTGTGCGTGCAGCTCGTCCCTCCAGGAATGCTCTTCCTGTCCTTGGGCTGACCCCTCTCTCTGTCCTAGACACGGGCTCAACCACTATGTCATCACTGCTGGGAATTGCCCCCCAATTCACCCCTGCTGCAGTACAAAGTACAGTCCATTCAAATTACTGCTTCCGTCCGCCCAACAGCAAACTCCACGTTCATCTCCGTGTGCCTAAAGCCAGGCTCCAGGCTCGGTCCAGACCATCTCCAGGTTTACAAACTAGACGGTGCCACATTTAGTGTCTTCGCTGAGACATGGTATCATGTAAAAACAATACATAGGCCAGGAAAAAGGGGCCATGAGCTGGGAATGTATCAGTTTCCTGGACACCCAGGATCTGAACCCCCTTTCCCATGACTCCCACTACAGAAGGGGGACGGCGAGAGACTCCCTTACTCCATTCAGTGTCAGCAACATGGCAGCAAGTGACCTAGGCCGGCCAAAGGACTGCTTCTACCGGAGTCCGGAGGACAGCAGGTGGGACAGGAGAGCAGGGCTGGGAGGGAACCACTCTGCCACGGTGCCGGAGGCAACATGGCGCCTGGACGCCAGCAGAGCCTCAATGGCGCATCATGGTGCTCGGCGGCAAGCTTTTCACAGCAGGGAGGGTCGCCCAGCGTCCTGCCATTCCTGCTCTTCTTCTCAGACTGATTCTTAAGCTTTTTTGTCTAATGTGGGAGTCACCAATTTCCTTCCAGTAACTCTTTTTCTGCTTTAGAAGTGCTTATTCTGTGTGGAACCAGGGGTGCTGGCTGGTCCACGGTCTACGGCAGCGTCACTGCCTTCCCAAGGCAAGACATTCGGAAGTCTTTGGGACATCAAGGCGTGTACACTGCTGGGGGTGGGAGACCGGACAGCCACCCAGCTCCTCAGGGTGTGATGGGGAAGACTCCAAAGTAGGCACTGACCAGTGACGTGACAGAACGGCCCAGCATGCAGGCAGTCGGGGAGTCTCCCCTTGTGTAACACCAAGGACTGTGTCACTGACTCTGCCTTCTGGTCCCTGCTCTGCCGTTTCCTGCCTGCCCAACAGAAGTGGCATTCTACCCTTCTGACCCTCAGTTTCTCTCTCTGTAATAAGGGGGTGTTAATAACAGCTAGGCCTACTTCACTGGGCTCTTCTGAGGGAGGGGGAAAAAATTCCAAGTCAAGGCACCCCGTGACCTTGCAGTGTAAGAGTCACTGTCCTGGAAGAGGCCTACGATCATGGCAGCCTCCATCCTGGTGCCTGCAGCCCTGCAGTTTGGCATCTGCCCTCACTCCCCTCCTGACCCTGCACTTCTGTGGGTCCTAAGTGTGTTCTGGGATGTAGAAGTCAAGGTGCCTCTCTGCCTCTGTACCCCTCCCTCCGTCTCTGTGTGCTCCAAGCTTCCCCGTTCTCCCCTGCCCCAACCTTGGTAACTCCCTCCAGGTCCGCACTCCCTCTCTGAACACTTACTCCCCCGCTCCTGTCCTCTTCTTCCCCACGCCTGCCCCCCTCCACCACCACCTAGTCACTTCCACACCTGAGACACTTGCAATTGCTTTGCTGGCCAGAATTTACATCTCTGGTCCCCACCTCTCTGGAGAACCCAGGAGCAAGGGTGCCGGTACACAACAGAAAGTGGTAGAAAGAGCACAAACCCGGGACCTCAGGAGAACACTTTCCACATCCATCCTGCCCAGCCCTGGGGCCATGCGCTCTATCTCCAGACCCACAAGCTGCCGCTCCCACGACTCCTTCCTGCCTTCCTCCCTCTGGTCCCACCACCATCATGTGACCTCTGCCCTTTCCCTCCCAGTATCAGCTTCTTATGCTGTGGCCAGTGCCTTCTCCCCTCCAACCTGTGGCACGCTGGTATTCCTGTCTCTGCTCCATACTTGTTCTAAGAGGCTCTTAGAGCTCAGATGCCATCACACTAGCCCCTGCTCAAAATTCCTCAGACCCCCACTGCCTACAGAAGAAAATCCTCTTCTCCGACCTGGCATCCAGGGATCCCTCATGACCCCAACTCCCCTTTCCATGCTGACCCGTGAAAATTTGGTCCCATTCTTTCTCGAACATGCTCTGACCTTTCCCTCTTCTAGGACTGTTTTTATTTCTGGGATGCTTTTCCTTTCGCACCCCTCTCCTTATTTGAGTCTACGTCCCCTCACTGGAGTTTTCCCCTCCTCCTCTGGGTCACCACGGCACCACTAGCCTTTTCCCACCCACAACTCAGCACTTCTCATCATTGCTCTGTCCCCTGACTATCGACAGGTCTCTCCTCTTTCCCCGTGAAAGCCCTGCCTGGCTCTGGAGGGAGCTGGCCGTCAGGATTCCAGTGCCAGCTCTACCATGTCCTAGATGGACTATCCTTGGGCAAATCATTAAGCCCAAAGGGAACTTCATCCACAAAATGTCTACCCCACTGGTTCACTGCAAGGCTTCAATTAAATACGCTGACATTTAAGCGCTTAGCAGGGGTTTTGTGCACAGTAAACGCTCAGAAAAACACAAGGGGCGCAGTCCTGGAATGAATGAATGAATGAATGCTCTGGTGTGCAGAACAGCTAAGGGGCAGACGCTCCTACAGGGGAGCTGGGTGACCCCAGCGCCACCCGGCCCCGGCAGGCGGCTGTCAAACCGCCTCAGGTGTGACACACAGCCTTGGAGTGGAGCTGCGGGAGCTCAGCCCCGTCACAGCCCGGCCCCTCACTGGGGACCGCCGGAGGAGGAAGGGGGCTTGCTGAGGCCCCGGCATATGCTGGGGCACATTCCAGGCCAGCGAAAAACAGGTGCGGGAACACGACATGGGGATGAGCGGGTGGTATCCGAGGCACGACAGGGGACAGGTCTGAGATGAGACAAGTCTGACAGGGTCCAGCGACCTCCCCCTCAGCCAGAGGGGCTCTTGTCAGGAGACGAAGATGTCCCTGCTCGAGGGCCGTCTGTGGTCTGACGCCCAACACTGTGGCCTTGTACAGTGCAGGGAGGCCCTCAAGTCACTATTCACTGCCACTCTTCACCTAAGTTTGTGCATCTGAGGGGACCAGTTCTCTCCCCACGGGCTGAGACCCTCCCCAGGACACGTGTCAGAACGCCCACAAGTCTCAGGCCCTTTGGCTCAGAAACCAGCCTGGGGAGTTAGGGAGAGACCCAGTGCCGCGGTGCCAGGAAGCCACAGTCCCCCGGGCACGAGGACAGCTCGGCAGAGTAAGGGTCTGCTGTTATCTGTTTCACAAGCCTGAGGACCCCTAAGAACGAACGTGGAGCACCATACCTGTATGAGGGTCAGACTGAACACATTCAGTTATTTTCTCAGCCTAAAAGTGAATGTAGAAGCCGTTAGTTCTGAACGTCTAGGCACGCGATCGGGGGTCTTGCTGGGCACCCCTGCGGCCCCGAGGGCTCCCCTTACATACCTTATTGCTGCCATTGCACACTCTGATAATGGACACATAGTGTCTAATTTTTCTGCAAGTAGAAAACAAGGCATTATTTCTCTCCTGGCTCTCTAGTCTGACGGGTATGCAGCGGATTTGTATTATGAAAGAGCATCTCGTTCACAACCACAAAATGCTCTGAGGGGAACATTTCTATTGTTTGTGGCCAAGGCCACCAATAAACAGTCCAGAGTCTACAAGCATCCTCTGGAGTCTGTGCAGAGAAGAAGTGGGCTCTTCAGTAAAAACGACACAATTCACCCAAGTCTTCACAACATGCAATAAAAAACACCGGTGTTTTAAACAATGGACTACAATATTAACCAACTAAAAGCCTTTAAATCCTTGGCACGTTTTCATCCTCACAGCCCTTTGTATGGCTGTTTGGCCTCAGGTTCCAGTGAGCCCTGAGCTCACAGCCATCGGGGCAGCGCCACAGGCCGCACGGAGCTCACTAACTGGGGTCTACAGCCAAGCACTGTGGACTGGACTCCTCACTTACTTACTGGGCCTGCCACCTTTCCACTTCTCCCCCTGGAGTGTCAAACCCCTCTCCTAAACACAAAAAAATTTGGAGGACAAAAAAAGGCCAAGATCAGAACACAGAGCCCACACAGACCCACCTCCCTGAGGCAGTCGCCAACGGGCAGCACAGCCAGGTGACCAGGCACGGGAGCCCAGCAGTCTAGCACGGCGGCCCTGGGCCAGAAGCCTCTGCGGTCAGCCTGGCAGTCTGCTGGACCCTGGGCCAGAAACCTCCTGCCTCAGGCCTCAGTTTCCTCATCTGGAAATTGGAGATGATCACGGACGCCACAGCGGGTGCCAGGGAAGGCACAAAATGATGTCTCCCAGGCACTGAGAACCGGCCCACAGAGGGATGGGCTCGAGAAACCTCAGGAGCTGCTGTTGCCGCCATGACCACATCTCATCTGTGTTTTCTTTCCCTCATTCCCTGGACAGAGATCACAAACTAGGTATGATTCTGCGGTTTGATTTTTGTGTTTATCTTAAGCATTTTCCCTTACCATTTAATTTTCTATGATCGTCATTTCTAGTGGCTGCATTTTAACTGTTGGGTGTCCTACAATTCGTATTCATAACTTCCCACTGTCCATATTAAGATAGATTCTGAGACAAACCATAGGAAATTTTTAGGCTCCTGATATATAATACTTTGCAATATGTAGTCACAACTGTTTTATACGAGAGTTGCTATAAATGGGAGTATTTTAAATACCTTTATCCAGCTTGATAGGTCTACGCAGGAATAACACACAGGCTTTCAAATTAGCTAACAATCTTTTAAAATCTAGGGAGTCTGCCCATTAGTGTTCTTACCACCCAGCTTAGTAACGTGACATTCTAATGGGAACACTTGGGTCTCTCTTGCGTCCATGCAGCTGAAGCAAGCCCGTCTGGAGCCTGGCGGCTCTGGGTCACAAGCTGGCATCAGGCTGTAGCCCCAAGGATGCTGTGTCCTGGAAGGCCATTCTTTGATGACACCTGACCTTGTGACAAGTCTTTCTTTTAAATTTCTGCATGTGGTTCTTAACTTACTGAAGTACTCAGAGCTAATTTTGCACTAACCCAAACATGGCACGTTGACTGGAGTACCTGGGTACTTGTTCCACTTACCCTCCCTGTCCAACGACAGGTATTATCTTCACATTTTGTTGCACATTATCTCCATTTTTCTTCTTGGCATGGTAGATCCCTTGCCACTCCTATAAATGGAATGTAAACATCAATCGATTGTCCATTCAAAACAAACACAAGAACATCTTCCACTTCAGGTTCTGACTCACTTATCAGGGTTACAGCAATTAGGATTATAAAAAAATCATCCCAACCTCACAGTTTTGGGTATCTGACCATTTCCCCCAAGTCCATCCCCTCCGGAGTTGCCAAAAAACACCAGCCCGCCATGGTGTGAGTGGTCACGGGTTTCTCGGGGCTGTCTGCTGGCAAAAGAGGGCCTGGGCCCAAAAGGGAAGCACGCTGCCTGGCTGCAGCACCCAGACTCCTCAGACTCTCCAATCTCCCCCAACATCTGGGAGGGGGTGAACCTTAGGACTGGGGCAGAGAAGGGGCCACCTCTGCTGCCACCTGCATGGTGGCCGGCTACTGCCCTCTGGGACGTGTGAGGGTTTCCGTCCCTCGAAAGGAGGTGGAGGGGGAGCACAGCCAGGTCCAGGCTCAGGTAGAAGAAATCGGAGACCTTAAAAGCTGGGGGCGCAGCTACACCAGCTGTGCTCTCATGATCAGACAGAATACACACGGATCCTAGAGTGAAACCACAGAGGAGGCATGCACACACCGAGACCACAGTGAGAACGGGCGCTGCAGGTGGCGCCCCTACTCTTGGGGCAGAGTGGAGAAGACTGGGATGGAGCTGGACTTTGTCACCACCTAAAATGTTCTGAATTCCTCCAAGAGTTACAAAGGTCCTTAAGCTATGAAGAGCCCTAAAATCCACTATAGGACACTCAACTCTTAGGGTGTTCTCTAATCTTCCGGACCTTCTAGATCCCTTAGGACCTGGTGCTGACTGAGGCAGGAAGCAGATCACCATGGCAGCCTTGGTGGCCTAGCTCAACTCTCCTGTCCAGACACTCACACAGGGTCCATTCTAGAATCTTCCATGCTTACAGCCTGGCAACCTGCATGCAAATGCCCACAGGAGAATCTCCTCTTCAGGCTCCTCTGAGAAAGTGGATTCAGCAGAAGCCAGGACATTCTGACAGAAGCAAAGGAGGGTTCCTGATGCTCCCCCCGCCCCGGTATACTTGTGAAAAGACTGTGCGCCAAGGAAGGACTGAAGTAAGAGCCCGAGAGCCCAGCTCCGTGCTTACTGGCCTGGGGACAGAAGGGAGGTGAGGATCTGACACACTACAGTTCTGAGAGGAGAATGGCCTGTGGCAGGCAAGGGCTAAACAGGGGTCCTGAGACTGGAAGCTACCGCCGGCCTTCCGTATCCACAGCCCACGTACCTGCTGCGGGAGGCTGCAGCAGACAGGTATAAGACTTACTTCTGAAGCTCACTATCAAGAAAAATGGGGGAAACTGATTGTAGTGGTTTGCAAAACTCTGTGAATAGACCCAACACCAGTGAACTATAGACTTTAAATGGGTGAATTGTATAGTATGTGAATTCTTGATTATTCTCAATAGAGAATTCTCTCATTAGAGCTGTTACATAAAAGAGAGGGAGAAAAATGGGAGACCAATTCAATCCATCCATCAATTAGCACTTATAAATCTATCTGCAGGGCTTTCTCCTCTAATCCTTTCTGAAGAGACATGAGCAGCTGCCAGATCCCAAGCAGAGGAATAAGCCAGTCGAACCAGAGCTCCGCGTTCTGGCTGAGGAACTGGGCAAGCGAGCCAGGGCCTCTGCTTGGAGAACAGCTTTGCCTCTAAGTTCTCCAGTCACTAACAGAAACAAAAAATAGTTACTTAGCACAGATCCTACTTTTATCAAAAATATTGGCCTCTCGGGGCACCTGGGTGGCTCAGTAGGTTAAAGCCTCTGCCTTCGGCTCAGGACATGGTCCCAGGATCCTGGGATCGAGCCCCGCATCGGGCTATCTGCTCCGTGGGGAGCTTGTGTCTCTGTCTCTCTGCCTGCCTCTCTGCCTACTTGTGATCTCTGTCAAATAAATGAATAAAATCTTTTAAAAAAGATTGATATTGACCTCTCATAAATATATGAGTTTCAGATCTTGAGAATAACGCAGTACTACCTTAGAATGCGATGATGGAAGATCCCATCTGGTAACGCACAGAAAGTCAGTGAAGTCTGACATGTGGCAAACATTCAGTAAATGGCCTGTTTCTGGCCCAGGTGGTTTTGCACATGCCTCCCCGGGCCAGGCTCCCGTCCTAACTGTACTAAGGCCCACACCCCGCTTCTGTCCCAGGGCAGGCTAACACCGAGCTGGGCTCCTCCGACTGCTACGACAGCCCCCTCTGGGTGCCCAATCAGCGGGCTGCTCTGGCCCCAGGGCTGGCACAGGGCCTGCACACAGTCAACCATCAAGGTCACTGGGGCTTCTGTTCCCTGAATGGAAAAGGTAGGCCAAGGTCAGAGCATAGAATCCCTGCAGCCAGGCCGAGGGACGGGAACTCTGCGCCAGATCAGAGTGACCACTCGGGAGCGCCGCGTGCGCTGACTGGATTCAGCCAGCACCATCCAGAGGCGGGAAGGAGGCCCCACGCGGGTCAGGCCCAGGCACTCAGATGCACGTTTAACAGACACCACAGCTCAGTGATGAAATGGACACTGAAGGGTAGAGAGGAAGCAAAACCACTCCAGGAATGGAGTCCAGGGAAGAGTCCAGGGACAGGCGGCCAACAAGCAGAGACCACAGAGGCTGGAGAGGACGGGATTTTTGTTGGGGGGACGAGGTGAAACTGCTGTTAGACAAGGCAATTTCATGATGGCGGCGGGAAGCTGCTCGAGACCCTGGAGAGCAGCTGCAGCTCGGAGGGGGGAGGAGCGGGCCGCCCCCGCAGAGCAGCCAAGGAGCCTCGCGGAACAAGGAGCTTCTTGGGCAGAGCAGGGACAAAGAACCCTGGTACACCTGAGAGGAAACGGGAAGAGTCAGGAGAAGTGGGGAGCCTACGAGGAGGAAAGCAGAGGAGCCATGGGAACTCCAAGTTTCCAGACACTTGCCTCTGCAGCCAGGCATCAGGTGCAGGCCGGCGCCGAGCCCTGACATTCCCCCGGCACCTGCAAGACACAGTGTCCAAGGGAAGAGCCCCCGGAAGGCTCAGGTGCGTGAGGAGGAGAGAGCATGGGTTCTAGAGCCCTGCCAGAGAAGTCTTCGGGTCGAGGAAAGGGAGGCCATCGGGAAGGACATACACAGCGATGCAAAGAAGCATACGAGCATGGAGGCTGAAAACCAAGGTCCCCTGATAGCAGCGATGCCTCCCCAGAGAGGAGCCCCTGGCTGAGAGCACCAGCTGGAGGGGCCGTGCAGAGCCTGTTTGCGGGCTCTCCGCTGGAGCAGCATCGGGACTTCTTCTCTGCCCCCAAGTGGCACACCTGGGCTCTGACCCTCAGAAGCCCCCGCCCGAGGGGCTAACCACCTCCTGAGTCCCCATTCTGGTTCCCAGGGCACCTCTGGGCTCTTCCCCCTGAGCCCAAGGCCAGAGTCGCCCTGCTTCTCCCTCCCTCGGGAGACTCAATCAGAAAGGCCCCATATTCTTTCATTCCCAAAACTGTGCCCAACCAAGCCACCAAGCCAGTCCTGTTGCAGAGTCGCCACGAACCAGCAGGGCGCGGCCAAAGGACACTGGCTGCTCTTCTACCCTAAGAACTCCAAGATATGTCAAATCAATAAGCAGGCTCCTTTTTGAAATCAAGAGATATGGAGGTCAATAATGTGATAATCTTTCAGATTCTCTGCTCACAACAAACATGGATTTTAGAGAACAGGTCTCCTGCTGTTCAAGCCTGAGGCCCTTTGTACTGGTGCCAGGAACATTACTTAGGAGGCGAGACGCTCTTCACATGGATTTGGCTGCATCCCACGCCTCACGTGCCCCTCACCGTCCCCTCCCCTCTCCCCTTGCTTTCCTCCATGACGGTGGGATGCCCCAGTGTTCCTGTGGTCAGATCAAGGCGCAGGAGGGCCGTCCTCTCTGGCTCCTGCCCAGCTGGCCCTCACAACAAAACCACCGGCTGACCCCTTCTCTAGCAGGACTGGGAAGGCCATGGGAAAGCCCCACGCGGCTTCTGGATCAGTGAGACTGCTGTCTGGTCACTGCCTTCTGAGGGTGCCCCTTCTCAGTGAGCGAGGGAACCCGGCGTGCCTGAGCCCCCGAATGACTCTTCATCCATCTCCGCCTTCAGGGCACTTTCCAGAGGACCTGCTACTCTCTCTTGCAAGAAAATCATCATCCTTGACAGAAAGGTGGAGGCAGAATGGGATTCGGCTAGCGCCCACTTCTGTTATTCTCCTGGGAGCGTGTCACTGGGCCCTCACCGCCAGCCTGCCCTCTCCTTGTTTTCACTGCAAGGCAAACTGGTGTGCTCAGGGCCAGAGGAGAGCAAAGGGACAACAAGCCCACGAACAGCATCTCAAGGGCCCAGGTACAGTGGCGGTACAGGCTCTACAGAGCCCTTCTGCCCTCTCCATGGCAGACTGCTCTGCTGGGCTACGGGGAAGGTGGTGGCCGGATGCCACAGGACAGCAGGCGAGACAGCAGGTCACCAGCGTTCGAGTGTTTTGCGTAATCAGATCAACAGTCTCTCCCCAACTTCCAAAAGTTAAAAAGAGCCCAGCAGGACAGACTCTGAAAAGCAGTAGCCTTTCCTTGTCATCACACATGAAAACCTAGTAAGTGTGCGGGGCCGGCAGAAGCCAGTGCTCCGAGAAATACCCTTGCGGACTGAGCCTGCCTTCCTCCCGCCTGACCCTCCGGCACCACGATAAAGTGACCCGTCATGTTCACGGTCTGGAACAGGAGTTCTCTAAGGTAGCAGCCTGTGTTCACTCTTCTCTCTGGACCAGAACCTAGCAGAGCGCCGGCCCGCAGGAGCACTCCAGAAAAGGCTGAACACATGCACGAGGCTCAGAGACTTGTTGGGCTCAGATGTGTTCTGAGACTCTGGGACCTCACTGGCAATCCTCTGCCCAAAGGCACGTGCCAACATCTACCACTCAGACCATCCATTATTAGCAAGATCAATTTACTTATTACAGAGAAGAAGACACTGATTTCAAGTGTCAAAGTTACTCTGCATAACAGCTGATCATACCCTACACTTCCCTGATCTTCGTTTCCTCATCTGCAAAATGGGAGTAGCAGGGACACCACCACCGGCACTTCCCCGGGCTCCTGGGAAGAGTGAGACTCACATTACCTGGCACATGCCACACTCAGTGAATACGTCTCCTTCTTTTCCTCTTTGTTACGTGAAAGTAAAAAAGGTATGACCTCTTACTTACCTTGCCTATCCTGATGCACGAATTTATAGTATCGAGCAAATCAGCCTTTTTTTCATTTATAGGCACTTCTGCTAACTCCTTTCCTATTAATTCACCTGACTGATAGCCCATGGTTGTTTCAAATGCAGGATTTGCATACTGGGAGGAGACAAGAGAAACAACATCAAGCAAATTAAAAGAGAATTTGAAAAGAGGACTATGGAGGGCATTCACCCAAGCTCTCACATTTTCTGCCCAAAAAGCTCAGGGGCCTGGAGCTTAACCATGACAGTTCGAAAGCCATAAAAGCAAAGCCCCAGGAGATCCCTGGAGTCCAGAGAAGCCTCTGTTCTGGGGACACCTGGTGGTCTGCTCTGGTCCCTGGGGCCCCAGAAAGAGGAGCTGGCCCCATCCCCCTTGAACACCAACAGAGGAAAGAAGCCACGTGGGGACAGGCCCAAGGAGCTACAGAAGGACTTTTTGGGTGTCAATATAGTAGAATGAAGCACCAAGGCTCTCCTCCAGCAAGTCACCCAACCCTGCAAGTCTCAGTCTGTGCATCTGTTTAATGGAAAGGAACCTCTAGGTGGCCTCTGGAATGTGCTGGGAAAGCAGGCTGCAAACTGGGAAGTGTTCAGAGGCCAGGCCGTGTGGCTGAATTTCAGGGAGGACCAGAGGACTAGAAGAAAACGTACAGGAAAGTTGTGCCTGATGAAGCTGTCACTGACAGCACTTAAGGTCTGTGTTCCTCGCTAGACACGGGAGGGAGCCCTCGGCACACAACGCACCCACTGAGAACCTCCTGACAGATGGCAGGCTCCTGGGACCATGACTACCACTGCCGTCTGTACAGCTGGGAGACGAAGCAGCCCGCCCGACCACGCTCAGGTAGGACAGCGGCTGCCTCTCTCTCCCGAGCGAGTGGCAAGTTACAGTGGAGAGCGGGCCTGATCGGGAGGGACAGGAAGGCGAGGCTGATTTTCGGACAGGAGGAGCGTTTCCTCGGCACAAGCCCTCTTCTGCTCTCTAAAAGTAGAAGCCATGTTATCTCAAGCTGCTTCTGTGAAGCCGCTTTTGTTCAGCAACTACTAGGCTATTCTGGAAATTCTGAGTAGTTTCTAGTAAATTTCTATAGGTGTAAACTCTAGTGAGAAAGGCCAGAGCTTGCAGACCACAGTGGTAATTCCTCTGCATACGAGTCTCCTCTTGCTAAATAAGCAAATGGAAAGGTGAGCAGTAATAAATGCAAATGTGGCATTTCCACAGAATGTTTTCTAGCACCTTAATTATTAGTATATTTTCTTATCTACTGGGAACTTTAAATTATAATTATGTATTTTAGATTTTGTTCTGATAATCCTCTAAGGAAAACTTGGTCTCTTGAACTTGAAAAAGAAAAAAAAAGATCATACTGGAGAGGTTCAATCCTAAAAGAAGAAACAATACCAGAAATTCAGAAAAATGAACTTCCCAAATGACAAACCTGTATAACGCGGTCTTCACTTGTAATTTCAATTGCTTCTTGACTTTTCTCTAATGCAGTGAATATTGAGTTACAAGCCCTTAATGGGTAGGAAAAAAAAGGGGGGGGACTGATTAATGTCAATACCACAAAAAATATAATACAATCTTGGGTTATTGCATCATTGACTTATTTAAATGTGTTTTTCATTTGAGGATAAGAGTAATAAATACTAACTCAAGAAAAAGGAGGGAAATATTAAAAAAGAAAAATGTTCCACAACCCCGCTACTTGCGACCACGACTAAAAAGAAAAATGTTCCACAACCCCACTACTTGCGACCACGACTACAACGCACAACGGATGTTCCCCCCACCCCCACCACTTCCAGCGTGAGGACAGGGTGGGACACACGCCAGGCCAGATCACAGCCCTTCTCCCACTCTGTGCCCCTGCGCACAGGACTGAATCTCTCGAGTCTTCCTTCTCCCCATGTCCCCAGTCTCCTGAGGACTACAGGAGAGAAGAGAATCAAGAATCCTGCACAGAGCCCAACAGAAAGGAGGCTTTCAGTCACTTGTTACTCTTTTTTTGTGTGTAAAGAAGAATATGTATCTGGAAAGAGGAAAGAAATCGTAACAAATTACAAACTTAAAAAGATGATAATCATCACCAAATCCAGAAAAGTTAACCTTAACCTTAATCCATACCATTAACCTTGAATAAGGCAGGGTTAAGAGTGCCGACCCCCTGTGCAGTCAAAAAAATCTGCATGTAACTTTTGACTCCCCAGGAACTTAAATACTGGTAGACTACACCTACTGTAGACTGGAAGCTTTATCCATAATATAACCAGTCAATCAACACAGATTTTGTACGTTATATGCCATATATATATACATACATACACACACATACATAAACTGCTTCTCACAATAAAGTAAGCTTGAGAAAAGAAAATGCTAGTGAACAGATAAGGAAGAGAAAATACATTTATAGGTATTTAGTAAAAAGAATCCACATATAAGTGAACCTGCGCAGTTCAAACCCATGTTGTTCAAAGGTCAACGGTAATTTTATTAACAAGCTACCTGATACAGATCTATAGAACAGCTTCCGTATACACCTGGCAGTATAATCTTTGATGCCTATTCATATCACAACATAATTTTCACAGTTACCAGAAAGATAATTCAGTCTTCTCTAATGAAATATAGTTGACATGTAAGATTCTATTAGCTTCAGGTGTAAAACATAGTGACTCGACATTTGTACACATTGCAAGTGATCACCACAGCAAGTCTAGGTGTCATCTGTCACCATACAAAATTACTACAATACAGCTCACCCTTGAACACACAGGTTCAAACTGCAGGGTTCACTTATACGTGGATTTTCTCTAATACATACAGTACTGTAAATGTATTTTCTCTTCCTTATGATCTTTTTAGTAGTATTTTCTTTTCCCTGGCTTACTTTGTTGTGAGGACATAGTATGTAATACACATGTCATACAAAATCTCTGTTAATTGACTGCTTATGTTATGGATAAGGCTTCCGGTCTACAGTAGGCTGCTAGTACATAAGCTTCTGGGGAGTCGGAAGTTATACATGGATTTTCCACTGCAAGGAGGGTCAGTACTCCCAGCCCTGCATGGTTCCAGGGCTGACTGTATTACTTGACTCTGTTCCCCACGATGTACACTGCACCCGCCTGAGGTACTTCTAACTGTAGTTCTGTGCCTCAGGATCCCCTGTGCCTCCGGCCCCAACCCCCTTCCCTCTGGTAGCCACCACTCTGTTCTCTGTATTTACGACTCTAGGTTTGGTTTAGTTTTGTTGTTCAGATTTCACTTAATTATCTTTCTCTCAGGGCAAGATTTCATTCTTTTTATGGCTGAATAATATTCCATTATATGTGTGTGTGTATACACACACACACTACGGAATGAATATATATATATGTAAAACATCTTTTTTAAGCCACTTACCTACTGATGGCTACTCGGATTACTTCTATAACTGGCTATTGTAAATTATGCTGCAGTAAACCCAGAAGAGCTTACTACCTTTTGGAGTTAGTGTTTTTGTATTCTTTGGGTAAATCCCAGTAGTGGAATTACTGGCTCATATGGTAATTCTATTTTTAACCTTTTGGAGGAAACTTCTGTCTTCCACAGTGCCGCACCTGTTTGCATTCCTACCGACAGTGCATGAAGGTTCCTTTCCCTCCACATCCTCACCAACACTGTATCGTGTGTGTGTGTGTGTGTGTGTGTGTGTGTGTGTGTGTGTGTGTTTAAAGATTTTATTTATTTGACAGAGAGATCAAAGGCAGAGAGGCAGGCAGAGAAGGGGGGGAAGCAGGCTCTCCGCTGAGCAGAGAGCCCGAGGCGGGGCTCGATCCCAGGACCCTGAGATCATGACCGGAGCCGAAGACAGAGGCTTAACCCACTGAGCCACTCAGGCGCCCCTGGTATGTGTTTTTTTAAAAGATATTATCTATTCATTTGACAGAGATCACAAGTAGGCAGAGAGGCAGGCAGAGAGAGAGGAGGAAGCAGGCTCCCCGCTGAGCAGGGGGCCTGATGCGGGGCTTGATCCCAGGATCCTGGGATCATGACCCGAGCCGAAGGCAGAGGCTTTAACCCACTGAGCCACCCAGGCGCCTCTGGATCTCGTGGTTTTGGTTTTAGCTATTCTGGCAGGTATAAGGTGATCTCTCACTGGGATTTTGACTTGAATTTCCTTGAGGATTAGCGATCTTAAGTATCATTTTCATGTGCCTGTTGGCCATCTGTCTTCTTTCAACAAAGTATCTATTTAGATTCTCCACCCATTTCTTTATCATTTTTTTGTTACTTAGTTGTGTAAATTCTTTACATATCTTGGATATTAACTCTTAGAGGCTAGATGATTAGCAAATATCTTCTCCCATTCAGGAGGTTGACTTTTCACTTTGTTGGTGGCCTCCTTCACTGTGCAGAAGCTTTTTAGTTTGATGTAGTCTCATTTATTTTTGCTTTTGTGCCCTTGTCTTTGGAGTTTGATCCCCCCTCCCCCAAAAATCATTAAAACCAGTGTCAAGGAGCTTGCTACCTATTTTTCTTCTAAGAATTTTATGGTTTCAGGTCTTACATATAAGTCTTTAATGCATTCTGAGTTAACGTTTGTATAAGGTTAACATAACGGTCCAGTTTTCCTTACAACAATTTTAAAAACTGTCCTTTCCCCGTTGTATACTCTAGCCTCTTTTGTTGTAGGTTAACTGACCACATAAACATGGGTTTGTTTCTGAGCTCTCTGTTCTATTCCATTGATCCATGTGTCTGTTTTCATGCCAGGACCGTACTGTTGTGACTACTGTAGGCTGGTAGTGTAGTCTGAGATCAGGGAACGTGCTACCTCCAGCTCTGTTCTTCTTTCTCAAGATTCCATTGGCTATTCAGGGTCTTCTGTGGTTTCATACAGATTTGGGGGATTATTTGTTCTACTTCTGTGAAAAATGTCAATGGAATTTTGATACGGATTACATTAACTGTGCAGATTGCTTTGCACAGTATGGGCATTTTAACAATATTAATTATTCCAATCCATGAGCGTGGTGTATCTTCCTGTTTATTTGTGTAGTCTCCAATTCCTTTTATCAGTGTCTTACAGTTTTCAGTGTACAGGTTTCTTACCTCCTTGATCATTTATTCCTAGGCATTTTATTCTTTTTGAAGCAATTTTAAATGGGACTTATTTTTCTTTTGGATAGGTCACTATTAGTGTATAGAAATACAAAGGAATTTTGCATATTGATTTTGCATCCTGGAAACTTAGTGAATCGTTTATTAGCTCTAGTAGCCTTTTGGTGGCATCTTTAGGGTTTTCATCATAGAGTACCATTTTATCTGCAAATAGTGACAGTTTCACCTTTTCATTTCCAATTTGGATGCCTTTTATTTCTTTTTCTTGCTAACTGCTCTGGCTAGGACTTCCAGTACTACGTTAAATAAAAGTGTGTATGGTGGGGGGGGGGGGGGAGGGGAGATTGTCTTGCTTCTGATCTTAGAAGGAAAGCTTTCAGCTTTTCACTACTGAGTATGGGGTTATCTGTGAGTTTGTCATACGTGGCCTTTCTTACATTGAGATATATTCTCCCATACCCACTTGGAGTGTTTTTATTATGAATGGATGTTACACTCTGTCAAATGTTCTTTCTACATTTATTGAGATGATCATAGGATTTTTTAGCTTTCATTTTGTTAATGTGGTGTATCATGTCGATTTGATTTGTAGGTTGAACCACCCTTGTATCCCCACCCCCCCAATAAATGATCCTATATGATCCTTTTAATGTATTGCTGAATTCAGTTTGCTAATAGTTTGTTGAGGATTTTTGCATCTATGTTCATCAGGGATAGTGGCCTGTCATTTTACTACTTTGTGGCATCCTCATCTGCTTTTGGCACCAGGATAAATCTGGCCTCATAAATTGAGTTTGGAAGAATTCCTTTTTTTTTTTTTTTGAATACTCTGAGAACTGGTATTAATTCTTCTTTGAATGTTTGGTAGGTTTCACTAGTAGATTTCACAAACATTCACTAGAATATTTATAGATTTCATCTGGTCCTGGACTCTGTTGTTGGGAGGTTTTTGATTACTGATTCAATCTCCTTACTAGTAATTTGTTCATATTTTCTGTCTCTTCATGATTCAGTCTTAGAAGATTGTATGTGTCTAGGAATTTATCCATTTCTTCTAATTGTTGGTACACAATTGTACAAAGTTGTCTCTTGCGATTCTTTATATTTCTGTGGTATCCTAAGTTCCCTTTCATTTCTGATTTTATTTATTTGAGCCCTCTTTTTTTCTCCTTGGTGAGTCCAGCTAAAGGTTTGTCAGTTTTATCTTTCAGTGAACCAGCTCTTAGTTCCACTGATCTTTTTTGTCTCTATTTCATTTATTTCTACCCTGATCCTATTTCCTTCCTTCTACTAACTTTGAAGCTTTGTTTGTTCTTCTTTTTCTAGTTGCTTTAGGTGTAAAGTTATTGTTTAAGATTTTTCTTTTTCTTCAGGTAGGCTTGTATTGCTACGAACTTCCCTTTTAGAGCCACTTTTGCTGCTATCTCACAGATTTTGGTGTGTTATATTCCTTCTTTCATTTGTTTCTAAGCATTTAAAAAAATTCCTCCTTTGATTTCTCTGATAGCCCTTTGGTTGTGCAGTAGCATATTGTCTTATTCTCCACATTTTTCTGTTTTTTCCAGTATTCTTGTAATTCACTTCTAGTTTCATACCATTGTGGTCAGAAAAGATGCTTGCTATGATTTCAGTCTTCTTGAAAGTACTGAGACTTCTTTTGTGGCCTAACATGATCTATCCTGGAGAACGCTGCATGTGCATTTAAGAAGATTATGCATCTTGCTGCTTTTGCATGAAATGTTTTGTATGTATCTATTAAGTCCATCTGGTCTACTGTGCTGTTTAAGGCCAATGTTCCATTATTTATTTTCTATCTGGATGATGTATCCACTGATTTAAGTGGGCTAAGTCCTCTACTACAATTATATTGTCAATTTCTCCCTTTATGCTTCTTAATATTTGCTTTATATATATTCTGGTGCTCCCATGATGGATGGATCTATATTTTAAAATGTTGTATTTTCTTCTGGGGTTGACCTCTTTATGATTATGTAATGTCCTTCTTTTCTTTTATTACAGCCTTTGTTTTAAAGTCGATTTTGTCTCATATGAATATAGTTATACCAGCTTTCTTTTTGTTTCCAGTATGGAATATCACTTTCCATCCCTTCCCTTTCATTCTGTGTGCATCCTTACTTCTGAAGCCAGTCTCTTGTAGGCAGGCACACAGACGAGTCTTTTTGAAAATTATTAATTTTTGATTCAAGTATCATGCTTTTTGATTAGATAATTTAATCTATTTACACTTAACGTAATTATTGGGTATTACTGCCATTTTTGTTCACTGTTTTTTGGATGTTTCTATAGTTCCTCTCTGTTCCTTTCTTCTCTTTCTCTCTTTCTTTCTGGTTTGATAACTTTCTTTAGTGTTATGTTTACATTTCTTTCTCATTCTCTTTTGTGTATTTGCTGTAAGTTTTGCTTCGTGGTTACCCTGAAGTTCACATATATTGTCCTATATATTTAACAGTCTATTTTAAGTTGGTAACAACTTAAATTTGAACATAGTTCAAAAACATAGTTTTACTAACCCTTCGTTTTGTTTTCAATGTCACATTTTACACTATTTTATGTATCCCTTAACTAGTTATTGTAGCTTTCCTTAATTTTACTACTTCTGTCTTTTGACCTTCATACTGGCTTTATAAGTGATGAATCTGCTACCTTTAGTATAGATTTACCTTTTCCAGGGACATTTTTTACTTTCACATATTTTCTTATTATTAATTAGTGCCATTTCTTTTCAGCTGGAAGAAATCAGTAATTTTCTAAGCAGAAACTCTGCAGGTCAGAAGGAAATGCCATGACTTACTCAAGGTGCTGATGGTAAAAACCCTGCAACCAAGAATACTCTACCTGACAAGACTGCCATCCAGCGAGACCAAGAGTTTTCCAGATAAGCAAAAGCTAAAGTTCATCACCACTAATCAGCTTTACAAGAAACGTTAAGGGGAGTTCTTTAAGCTGAAAGAAATGGCACTGTTCTATTTAAAGTTACACCATAATCTATTCAACAAATCCCCCATGATCGGACATTTAGGTTGCTTCCAATTTAGTTCTCTTATATGCCTCAGAAGATGGAAAAAAAGAAAGCAACTGCCTGCTTGTTCATAAAATGCAGACAATATTAAGGAAACTAACAATAGCAAAGCTTTTACATTATTCCTGGTATTAACAAACTATCTCACTAAACAAAACAAAGCAGCCTAGACAATAGAAATTAGCTTTTATTTCTTGGCTATATAAAAATCAAGTGATGAAATGTGAATTATATATCAATGAAACTATTATTTAAAAAATAAACAAATAAACAATGAGCAAGAAGTTCCCAACTCTGATATATCAAGCTTAGAGCAGATGGATCTGCGAGAAGCTCTACTCGGTTTTATCATTCTTTTTAAAATTGTTGCAGATTTAATAAATAAAAGATAGTATATCATTCTCATTTTCATTTCTTTGATTACTAGTGAAGTAGATATCTGTCTTTTCACATCAACTTGCCATTAATATCTCCTGTGAACTGCCTGATCATGGCCTTTTTAATTTTTTCTACTGGATGTTTCCATTTTTCAATGATCCATCGAAGCTCTTTATACTATTGGGTTTTAACCTGTCTGTCCTATATGCTACAGACATATTCTATTCTCCCCCATATGTTATTTATCTAAAAATGTAACAATATTGGGGTGCCTGGGTGGCAGAGTCAGCTAAGCGTCTCTCAGTTTTGGCTCAGGTTGTGATCTCAGGATCGTGAGATCGATCCCCCCATCAGGGTCCATGCCCAGCAGGGAGTTCTGCTTAAGATTCTCTCTCCCCCCGCTCTGCCCCTCACGTTCATGTGCACACGCTCTCTCTCAAATAAATAAATACATCTTTAAAAAAAATAAAAATTAAAATGTAACATTTAAGGTTTAAAAAAAAAAAAAAACTGTAGACAAGCCTAACATTTTTACAGTGTTTAATCTGACTCTTTCTTTACCCAATCTGGCTTTTATGCCATGCTGAATTTAAAAAGACTTCATCATCCAATTACATATGTTCGCTTATATTTTTAGTAGTCATGTAGCCCCACTTTTAACATCAAGTCTCTGGAATTTATTTTGGGGTTGGGTGTGAGATCAAGATGTAACTTAATTTTCCTTCCAAACAGTTAACAAGTTGTCACAATTCTATTCACTGAAAAGTCTGCCCTTTTCCATGTTGATTTAAGCTGCCATGTTGATCATATGCTAAATTCGTAAATATACTCAAGTCTATTTCTACACTTTACATTCCAGTTTACTGATCTAGCGGCAACACAAAGGTGTTTGTTATATAGCTTGTTAGCGCATTTGAGCATCCAGCAAAACAAGTCTGGATTTCTCCCAGGTCTCTAGCCCACATCACCCCCTTCCCTTCGTATCTTCCCTTCCCTTCACTACGGACTTCTCCCTTGGTTGCCAGCTGGGGCAGAGAACAAAGCAGGGCATGATGGCAGATGGGGACAGAGAGGTAAGCAGAAGACGCACCACAAGAAAGCTGTGCAGGCCATATCTGAGAGCCTGGACTTCATCCTAAAGGCAATGGGGAGGTGGAAAGCCCACTCACGAGTGGAACTGCATGTCACTGTGGTGTGGAGAATGACAAGGAGGAGTCAAGAAGGATGCAGGGAGACTGACTGATAGCTCAATAGTCCTGTAAGAGGAAAGAGTGGCCTAAAGAGGAAGGTAAGTGGGCACATTCCACAGATACTCAGGAAGCAAAACCGACAGGACTGGATCAGTGACTGGCGTTGGGGATGCGTGAAGGAGACACGGTGGTTTCAGTCTAGGACCACAGGGGAGGTGATGCTGTGTTCACTGAGCTAAGGGATGCAGGAAGGAAGGTCAGAGGTTACAGTCAGATTTAGGGGTGAAGGAGAGACAATGACTGCAGGCTGGGAAAGGCTGATCACACCCAGAGGGATTCCCTGTGCTGCGTGCCACTTCTGAGGTCTCAAATCTAACTCACTTCATCCCCCTGGGGGTCACTGCTGCACCCTGACCCGACCAGATAAGCTCTAGTATCAGCAACTGATGAGGACGCGTTCCTCTCAGGCCGACAGCCTCACTTGCTGTGGGGACGCTGCAGCCGGCCTGCATCCCGAGGGAGGGAGGAGCAGGCCTCAAGGCAGCCATCCACCTCAGCTTCCTGACAAAACCCGGCAACCAAGCTCTTCTGGACACTTTACTAGCCTTGAAACACGTCTGCTCGTCAGAACTTCTCTGCTACCTCAAGCTTCATTTCCTTTGGTCTGGGAAGTACTTCTGCTTCCTGCACATGGAACCCGGCACTGGTCCCCACTCATCTCCCTCCCTCAAGACCTGACCCCCTTACCTCTGTCCTGGGCACCTACACACACAGTCACCTCATTCTCCCCTTGGTTCCTGGAAATGTGCAAGAACAGAACACCCAAGGAAGAAACCCAGGATGACAAAGAGCTGCTGACTTTTTCCTCCTTCTATCAAACTCATATAATTTTACTAATTTTTTGCTTTTCCAATCGTACAAGGAACTAGGTTTCTACTCAATTAACTTAAAACAAAACCTACTGCTCAGGAGCAAATTACAAAATGATTATCTGCGGAGAAGAAAACGTGTCACCTAGCAAAGATAACTAGTATTGGTAGGTTGGGGTGTACACAAGGTATTTTTTATTTTTGTAAAAAACTAATCAGATAATTCAGTATTTCTATTTCCAGCCTGCTTTTTCCGTCTACATTCTTTCGGAGCCCCACCGCTAAGTGCGAGTCTCCCATCACTAACAGGACCACTCGAGGGACGCCCAGGTGGACGCCAAGAGTCTGTGTGAGGAGAGTCCCCAGGTCGCCGCCCGCTCCCACCTCAGCGGGAGGTCGGTCAGAGCCCAAAGAGCCACAGCCCAGACCTCCCTGGCGGAGCCCCCTGCACACTGCGGCGCGGGCATCCCAGCCGGGGCGGGACCCATTACCTGAGTTTGAGCTGGGACCGCACCTCTCCGAACTCCAGCTGGAGCAGCTCGTTGTAGCAGGCCATGAGACTGGGGTTCTCCACATACCTCTGCGAAGAGAAAGGACACGTGGATAAAGCAGTGCGCCTCCGGAAGTCAGTATGTCCATCCACAAAAACACCTCTTCAGCAGACTTCTCCAGCGGGTAACGGGAATCTAAAACCTGCATCTTTAGTGATGAACAGGAACTGAAAGAGGAAACCTGTGGTACCAAATGAGCTCCGACAAAGGCTCTGTTTGAGGTGAGAGAATTTTGGATGTCTCCATGTTGCAATCAGAGCCTAGAGTATGTGGAAGGAAGAAATCTATGTAATTCAAGTCCTACTTCCATTAACTGCCCGAGCGCACTCCACGTCCTCGTTACAACCGTTCACGCTCACAGGAAGCAAACACACGCTTGCGCTTCTCTTTGCCCCAGGATTTCACAAAGAGAACCCCTACTTGGGCGACACCTTCCTACGCTCACCTTGAACCACGGCTCAACCAAGCCACCAAAGGCTGGCCCTCCACGGCTTTGTCCCATGGCCCTTACTGCCCTGTACAGTGACGACCTCGTGTAAGAACATTTATGTAATGGAAGCATCTCACCACACAGCAAACGACACAGTTCAAGAAGTGTGGACCCATTCCACCACCAAATTATGTATTCCATGAAGACATCTTAGAAGTCACTGTGTTCTGTCACCTAGTTCCATCGAGGTAGCAGAAATATTTGGGAACAGTTACTCACCCCTATTTCTATGACTCTGGCTCAATGCATGGCTGATCCTCTGCGTTGAGGAGGAGGCTGAGGCCTACGAGGCAGGCCAGGGCCTCTGCAGGTCACCACCTCCGAGCCAAAGCCAGACCAATCTGGAACATGGGCCCCTCAGAGGTCCTGGCTCTGCCACAGGCAAGGTGATCAGTCTCCCACTTAAACAGTGATCAGGATCTTGCCTGAGTGTCAAGCAGCTAATGGTCAGCCCCAGGTTCACGCCCCGTAAACGATATGACCCTGACTGAGGTCCCCACTCTCCTGGGCCGGCTTCCTCACCTGCAGAACAAGACCATCCTGCTCACAGCCACTCTGGATGACCACGAGCACCAAGTGAGGCCATGGGCGACAGCTCGAACTGCACAGTGACCAGAGAGTATGGTGACTGCTGTCTCTGGGAGGCAAGGGGAGGAGGCAAGGCCGGCCGTGGACACGGTGGTCCCTAATCCACAGGCCAAAACCTAGCCCTTCTCATTCACAGAAGTCAGAGAGGTGCCGTGGCTCCCAGCTCTCACAGCTGAGAGAGGAGGACGGCGCTGGACCCGCCATCTGCTCTTGGTCAGCTGGACCCGCCATCTGCTCTTGGTCAGCCCCGACTCCACAGAACCCTGGAGAAGGCCGTCCACCCGCACGGGCACCTACCGCTGACTCATCAGGAACAGGGAGGAGAGTCCTGGGCACAGTGCTTGTGCCACTGCCAACAGACGGGGTGGGGACCAGAGCTGTCCAAGGGCACGGCTGGCCTCACTTGCTCTGCCGGTGAGATCGTGGGATGTGGAGACACGTGAGCTTATAAATGGCCTCCCAGGCATGCAACCAGATTCTTCACTGGGTGTGAATGCACATACCCAGTCTTCCCAGCCTTTCTCCAACTTCCATGTATGTCTCAAAGGTCCCACGAGTTCCAGTTCCAGAGAAGGGCACTGGGTCCAGGACGCCTGGGAAACAGGCTGCTGCTCCTGCACCTTCAACAGCAGCTGGCCTCCTCCCCCTACCCCATCCCACCAGAGCAGCCCGGCCACAGATCCTAGGGAATCTGAGCTGACTCACCCTCGCTTTTCCAGAGCCTTTTTCCACACCCACCTTGCTGGGCCCCACCCAGTGGTTCTCAGCCCCAGCGCTATTAGAACGACCTGCAATCTTACAGACTAACACCACTGTGCGGGCCCCCCAACACCACCCAAAGGGCCTCTCCAGGGAAGCTCTTCCGGGGACTCTCACGCACAACCAGTCCTGAGGTGCACCAAGCCTGAACTTTTCACATGTTAATCAGCAAATGCCCGACTGAGGAAGCAAGCAGGTCTCCATCCATCCTGAATTCCTGAACGACGGCACTAACCCACAGAACAACTGACTGCCCCCTTGAAGACCAGAGACATCACTGCAGGGTTGTCTGTCAGGTCTAGGGCTGAGTCAAGCATTGGCACCACTGCCTACCAGCCATGGGACTTGGCAGAGTCACCGTGCCCTGTGTCAGCTCAGTATCCCGTTGTTCCATGAAGGTATGGGACCCTGCTTAAAGCAAGACTCATCTTCACTTGTGGTCCCCGAGGACTGGCCATCCACTTGAATTCCTCATCCACCTAACGGGGAGCCTGCTGCAGCCTCGCCTGCCAGGTCACGTACCTCTACAATGACTGCTTTCAAGCTTCTGTGCTTGGGGACGTGTACCCGAGATGGTCCTAGCAAAGGCTTCAGGGGACCCCTTGACCAAGTGTGAGGGGGAGATGGGGGAGAATATGTGCGTCGGTCGCTCTGGCACTTTCAAGTTAGCTTCATCACAGCTCGATTACACTAAGAAAAGAGAGGCACTGAGGTGTGCTAGCCCTCCCAGGACGCTCTCTCCAGTCCACACAGCTCTGCCAGGGCGCTGCCCTGCGGGGAATTTCAAACACACACATTCCCAACACGCATCTATGCCCTTCCAAAGAGACTTCATACAAATATAAAGCTTCAGGACTTCTGGCGGCCGTCAGTAAGCAAACACTCCAAGGCAGGTCACATTGTCTATCCCCAAGTTTCACTAGAAAGTGGAAGCAGAGGTCCTTGCTATAGACAGACAGACAGACAGACAGATAAATAAAGCCAGTTCTGAAGCCCAAGAGTAGTAACATAAAGGTCTGCAGAGTTAGCTGGGCCAGTTTCTGTCCTTGTGTGAGTGCTCTGCCCAGCAGGCTGGAGTGCGGCACGATCTGGGATCCACTAGTGAGAGGCGTCCACAGCTTTCCATCCCGGATTCTGTACTTACAGGAACACTGACCTTCCCAATGGCCACCCTGGGTTTTTCTCAGACAACTTAGTATGGATTCCTGGAAGTGAGGCGATGCGGGCAGGTGCTGAGATGGGTGTATGTTTTGGGGGTTGCAAAAAAAAAAAGGGGGGGGAACCATCAAACTAACAATAATCTAATGTGTGCTTTTTATATAAAATTGTGTGTATAGAATAAAATCTTTTTTTTTTAAAGATTTTATTTATTTATTTGACAGAGATCACAAGTAGGCAAGGAGGCAGGCAGAGAGAGAGAGAGAGAGAGAGAGAGAGAGAGGAGGAAGCAGGCTCCCCGCTGAGCAGAGAGCCCGATGCGGGGCTCGATCCCAGGACTCTGGGATCATGACCTGAGCCGAAGGCAGAGGCTTTAACCCACTGAGCCACCCAGGCGCCCCTAGAATAAAATCTTAAGTTCCATATTACTGGATGTTAGTATTGGAATCTGTGTTCTTTTTTGTCTGCATTTACTTGCTACCTTTGTTCATTTGTTACTAAACTTTTATCATTTTGTTTTAGAAATGTCATATAACTTACTTAATAAACCAGTCTGGCAGCATATCCTTAAAAAAAAAAAAAGGGAGAAATTAGTCTGTTCGCATACACTTGATTTTACTCATTCTGTCTTACTGTGTCTTCATGACTGGTTTCACACTGTTGCTTCCTTCTCCTTGTCAGCCAGTCTGACCAAGTTGCTGTAAAGTTATTTCCTCTCATGATTTAGAAGGTTTGTTAAATGTTTCTATTAATGGTTCCTTCCTTCTCGCTGATCTCAAAGGATTACACAGATTTCTTTACTACTATTCGAAAACAAGATGCCAATCACCCCCAGAATTGACTATCTCCCAGAGAACAAATGTTCTAGCCTGCGCATTTCCCAGAAGAAAACGTCGGAATACTTTCACCACCTGCTCCCTCGACCCATGTTGGCTAGATAAAGCCCTGAGAACGCTTTTACCTCCATCTCCTCCACACAAACTTTGAAAATGCCTACATTTTTGCTAAGATAGTCTAGAATTTAGAGACTGACCTATTGTTCAAATTTTTCTTTTGGCACATCCCCTGTTGGAAGAGTATTAAACCTTCCAATTTGTTTTTCCTTTTAGGTCTAACATGACCTAACATGGCAAATCATATTCTACTTGCATTTCAGACGTTCTCTAACCACAAATAAAGGTCTACGGCAGGTTGTTCACGCACACGCACACCTGTGTGCGCGCATGCGCAGGGGGAGGAGGGAGAGCCGCAGAGACGGGGACGTGGGAGGCGGGCACCGCAGGTTCACTGCTCCCCACTTCCCTCCACTTCATCCCTCCTCCCTCCTCTTCAAGTTTCTGTTTGAGTTCATCTGTGGTAGCAGTGGAGTCCTTTCTCAATCCTTTGCCTCCAACAGGGCACTTGGGGAAACAGGACTCTGAATTTTATGCCCTGTAAGGCGAACAAGGATTCAGCGAGGCATCCTTCTCCCGCTATAAGCTCTAATCCGATGAGACATTACTATGACTGTTTTATACAGTAAATGGGGGCTTATGTTTACCCCCAGAGTCAGCATTTTCTGGCTTCATTCCTTCTTGTGCTTCAAGACTTCCGCTTGGGAATCCCTCCTTCTGCTTGAAGCAGACCCCATACAAACTCTCCCCATTTCCATAGGGCTGACAGTGTGTCAGCCTCTTCATAGGAAGCCCTCTGCTGGGGTTACCACTCCAGGTAGCAGCAGTTTCATCACGTTGGAAGTAACATCCCACTATTTTCTACTTTCCTTTTATCACTGCTGAGAAGCTAGCCGTTAAGTCATCGTTCTTCTCACGGTCGTCTTTTTTTTCTGGTGAGATTTTCACTATGATGGGTCTTCTTTTTACTTACTCTTCTTTGGATTTGTTGGAATTTCTGCATCTGTGGACTACAGTCTTTCATCAGTTCTGGAAAATTATCTTCAAATATCGCCTCTGCCCCATTCTCTCTCCTGTCCTCCTAGAACTCCATTTACGTATATGCTAAACCATCCACTCTATCCTCCACACTTCTTAACCTCCCTAACTTACCTTCTATCATCAAATCTCTGTGCTACATGCTGGGTAATTTCTTCAGACCCACTACGTTTTAATTTTTCAGTTATAATGTGTTCATTTCTCAAAATTCAATTATGTTCTGCTTAGAATGTGCTGTGTCACTTTTTACAGCTCTATTTCTTGCAGACATTTGCAAGAGTGTCTTTTATTCTGTACATATAATAAGCATAATTCCTTTATGATTTGAGTCTGATAATTCTGGTGTGTATGGGCCATGAAGGTCTGTTTCTGCTGTCTTTCCCCCACTAGCTCTCACTCGCAATGCCTCATCGCCTGTGGACTGGTCCGCTTCTGTGGAATGCGGCCAGCTGCCTTTGAGCAATTATTTGCAGAGATTCTCTGAGGCCAGAGATGACGGTGTCTTGCTCTAGAGAGGATCTGCATTTGCTTCTGCCGGTACCCAGGAATATGACCCACCACCTAGTTCCACTTTAATCTTAATTTGTGGCTTGGGGTGTCTGGACTACCTCCCACATATAAATTTAGGTCAAAAATGTGTCCCAGAATCAGCCTCACATAAGTTCTCTCCATCATGATTCCCAAGGCTCACTGGCAACTGACTAAAGCCTTTAGAAGTCTTTTGGCTTAGGGAAACCCAACAGATGAGCGCTGAGAGTGGAGGGGTCGTGTGTGGGCTGCCTCATTTCCAGAATCCTTGAACTGCCTTTCAAGTTGCACCCATACACATCAGCGTTGTAACAACACATCGTATGACATAACTCTGAGTCAGTATGCCATTACAGGAGATGTTATGATGTTTAGACGACTTTAGCAGGGATAAGTTTGAGAGCATAGAAACGTAAAGTGTTGTAGATTATTAAGATTACCAAGTTCTAACCAAATTGTAACAGCACAAGGACAGCAAACTTTTTTCTTCAAATGAATTCAAAACTTTTGCTGGCTCTCAACGGAGATAAAATTTAATTTCTCATGCTGAATTATACTCGCATAACAAGGAAGTGGGTACATACCCTCGTAAAGCCAGCGGCAATGAGGGGCATCACAGATGACTCTTCTCTATCCGTCCTTCAGAAGAACACAGGAAAGGGTTAGAGACCATTTTTATCAATTACAGCTCACCTCTTTATTCACTAATTTACATAATACTAGGACTGTCATATGTTAAATACTTTTCGATGAAATTAGATCAATATACCAATCAGAAGTATAAAATTGAAAATAGTTTTGTTTTAGTTGTGTATGTCGCTTTCTGACAACGCTTGAATTACAGAGACTCTGCACTAATGGCCAGGATACAGAAGTAACCACATATCTATTTGATATGTAAGAATTTTAATTCAAATTCTTCCCCATTTTCTTCTACTTGAAGTTTCTTTAAAAAAAAAAAAAAAAAAAAACAACAACAACAACAACAAAAAAAACTCTTCTCCCCTAAACGCTCTGGGAAAAGTTTACAGGACAAAGAATCCTTTCTTCTATCTACAAAAGTATATAAGCTAAATAACATTTATTTGTATACTGCCCTTCTCCTAACATATTTCTATTCTTCCCTACCTCCAATTTCAGGATGAAATAAAAGACTTCCCCCGTTTACATATGAATCAAAACTTCGTAGGTACACGGGAGTCAGAAAGCCCTTGGGAGGTGTCCCTGGATAAAATTCGTACTTTTAGGAATGGGAAGTCTCTCGTAGTTTGCCTGTTTCTAAAGTGAACGGCAGTCCAGAATCACAAAAGCTCACTCGAGAGCAGAAACTCCCATCAGGGAGTTAACTGGTGAAGTGGAAGAAAATAAGAAAGAACACAATGCCACTGAAAAGAGTCACACCTGTTATAGACCATGGGCACTCAGGCCCCTGCTAAGGGCCAGCACAACACAGATACCTGAACTTCAACCTCAAAAAAAATGAGAGCTTACCTGCGTACTACACCAATAATAATTGTGTTTTCAGAGAGTTTTGATGATCTAATAGACCTTTAAAGAAAACAAATTTTAAAATAAATGTAAAGCAATTCTTAAAAAAAAAAATACACTGAATCTCAGTAGAACGATTACAGTTGGGGAGAGGTAGAAGAGGGAGCAAGTCACACTCTAGCTTTACCTTCTTGGCTCTTTGATCTTCCTCCCTCTAGGGCACAAGCCCCACTCAGCAGACAAGTCACCCTAACAGGCTTGCTCCTCATTCTGGCCTTTGTTAATCCAAGCGGCGCAGGGGAAGAACGCTCCCTATTTGGGCTTACGTGACTGGGGTTATGGGTCTCTCCCTGCCAAAGGGAAATGCGAGTACATGTGTGTTACCGCAAGCTGATGGCCGCGGTTACAGTGGGGACAAAGCCCAAAGGTCAGCACCCTAAACAGTACAAACGAAGAGCTCCTAGGTAGGCAAAAGCAGTAGCAACAGAAATTCAAAACTAGGAAACGCAAGATGTTCTAATCCGTCAGAAAGCAGAGAATCGCCACCTGACAGAAAGAGGAAGAATGGAGGACTGGGGAGGAGACACGGGGGTCGCGGCCCCCACTAAAATCACCCGTGGAGTACGAGGCTCCCCACAGAGTACATTCACCCCTTCTGGAGAAGCCGCTTCCCAGGAACAAAAACGCAGCCGATCAGACAGGGCAGAAATCAACATGACCTGGGAGAGGAGGAGGGGGAGGAGCAAAGGGTCCACTGGGGGTGGACAAGAGCTCACCCTATATTTTGATTGGGGGGGTGGGAGGGGAGGCGGGACACCGGAGCAGATGCGGAGCCACGCCACAGGAAGGGTGGAAGGCAGCCCTGGGCTGAAAGGAAGACACTCACACAGGACGGGCTTCAGCAGGAGAACGGAGCGGCCATTCCCAGCCACGTCGGAAGTATGCTGGCCTTCTAGACAAGCATCCGGGATGGGACAGAGAACAGCCAAGACTTACTGCATGACCTCTGTTCTGTTAGTTCAAGAACCAGAACCACTCCTGAGTCACAGAACACAGAAAACCACCTGCGTGATTCTTTCCCAGTTCTCCCAAGGATGCTACAGAATGTAGCCTTTCCAGACGCATCCGAGCACATCAACTCAGCACACATGACAGATACCTCCATTTGGCAAACTTTTTCTGTAAAGGGTCGGATGGCAAGTGTTCCAGGCTTCGTGAACCGGGCCGACTGTCACAACCACTCCACTCTGCCACTGTCACGTGAAAGCAGTCACAGTGGATGCCTAAATGAGCGGTGTGGCCATGTCGCCCAGCACAGCCCTGCCTCACGGCATGGGGGCTTCATGTTCTCAAGGCTGAGTCTAATGACAGACACAGACTGGATGTAGGGTACAGAAGTCACTCAGGGATGGACATGCAGCTCTAGGGACGAGCCAGTCGGCTCTCGTGGGCCGCACGGCTCACACCTCTCCGTGTTTCTGCTTTACCCAGTGTCCAGTCCATTCAGCTCCCATCTGCCTGTCGATGCCAGAGGAAGCCAACCTCCAGGGTGCCACATGGCTACTGAATTGGAAGAGCCCCTGGACGGGTCACGACGGGTCACTGCGGGTCTGCCGACCAGGTATCAGTCCCCGGTTCCAGCAGGATCTCCCTGCCTGGAGAAGAGACACGCTCACCTTCCGGGAGCAGGCCCAAGGAAGGGCTGTCCAAGCGTGGAAGTTGACTGGCACAGTGGACACTCACACAGATGAGGCCAGCTCATTTCTTGAAACTGTGGGCTGCTACTGAGCCCAGCACGAATCCTACCCAGGGAGAGACGAGACCCACAAATGGTATTTCTGTGACTTCTGAGGGCACGTACTTATTCTTGTGTTCATACTTCCATCGTATCACCAAGATTTCAAGAAAGAAAAGGCGAATTTAAGTATGCAGTCAGCTATCTCAAATCAGCTCTCCTCTTTTTAGAAGAAAAACAGAGACCTGAGTGGTATAAATAGCAAGTAGGTAACTGTGCACATCCACTCATGAGGTCATTCTGGATGACTTGCTCGGGACACAGGAAGGAGGGCGGGCACTGGGCTAAGGACAAAGCATAAAGAAGGCCACGTTTACCTGGAAGCAAGGGGATACCTACAAAGGAAGCCAACACTGTATGAAATGGCAGAGGTACTCCTGACTTTTTCTGGTCCGTAAGGAGGAAGAACGGACTAGAAAATAGAAATGTAAGGAAACTAGGTTGGGATAAACAAACAAAAAAACACAACCCTTTACTTAAGGATTCAGGAAAACAAAGAAAGAGATTACTTAGCGTCATCAAAATTGTACAACCAGATGTTAGGAAGGCAGGATGTGAGAAGTCAGAGAAGAGAGAAGGCACTAATCTCTAGCACGAGATTCTGAGAGACCATGTGAGCGTGCTGGGAAGCACTGGGACTTGATGGGGTAATGCATAGGAGAAAACTCCGAACAACAGCTTAGGCAAGACTCTTCTCCCACAGAGAAGATGCGCAGAGGCGGCCGGAGGCAGTGGCAGCAGCAGCACCGGGAGCTGGGCTCATGCCAGGTTTCCTGATTCTTGCCTCCACATGGTTTCTTCCTCGTGGTCTGAGACAGGGGCTACGCTCGAGCCATGACACCCACATTCTAGAAGCAGGATACTTTCCCGAAGATGCACAGGACATTCCCACTGGCCAGCTGCAAGAAATGCTGGGGAATGCGTGCATTTTCTAGGTGGCCAGAGGCCCCACTAAACACTAGAAATTCTGTTACTAGGAAAGAGTAGACATGGGTATGGGGGGCAACCACCATTCTCCAGACACAATAGCAACTACAGACACATCTGATGAGGGTCTCAGCACAAGCCCGGAGGAAAGGCCGGGGCACAGAGGCAGACTGCAAGAGCCTGGCAAAGCCCTTCGGTGAGTTAACTTTTTCAACAGCTCCGTTACTCGCACGTCGCCGCTACTTCCTTCACCATGGGGAGTGAGTTTGAGATGGGAAAGACTGGAATTTACCATGGTGAAAAGGAGCCGTGGACCGAGGTGAACCCAGGGACAGTCCCAGGCGTCTGGCACCCGAGCCTACACCCGCTCGGCAGGTGCCCTTGGGCTCCCACGCAGGCCGCTCTCCCGTCCTCCCTTTCACCGCAGAGCCCTGCTCCTGGCGCACAAAGGAACAGCTCTCCATCTCTCCTGGGTACCCTAGGCACAGGCTTCTGAGAGGTTCTTCGGTTTCTTGTGGTGAATCATTTTCTCTGTCTTCAAGGCTGTTCTTTCCCCTCCGTTATCTGGCGTCTCTTCACAGGCCTTTATCCCTGTCATTCACCCTTGAAGGGAAGTGGGATCCAGCCCGTCGGGAGCCTGCCGCGGAGAGGATCACAGAAGCCTCCCTTGCTCGCCTCTGCTGGGCCCTTGGCGGCCCTCCTCCCCCCGGGGCTGGGCCTGCGGATCAGGGCAGCAGAGGCGAGCCCCTGCTCAAAGAGGCGGCCCGGGCAGGCAGATGTGAGCCGCACAGCCCGCCGGCCACTCTCTCCCGCTCCCCACCCGCTCCCAAGAAGCGGGGCGCTCTGCTGCCCCGAAGCCACAACACGCCAAGGGCTATTCACGCGCTCCTTAGGCTCTGGCCCCTCCTTGCAACGTGGCAGAAAAAGCCAGGTCTCTGCCTCCGCTCGAGGTCTTGGGGTCCCAGCGGATGCGGAGAGTGAACACCGGAGAGGCAGCGGGGGGGTGCGGGCAGGGCTCGGGGGCTCAGCAGAGGCGTCGGTTTCTCTGGCCGCACAGCTCCGGCGTCCTGGGCTTAGCACGACTGTGACAGTGACGTGGAGCATCTTCCCATCTCCTTCCCGTGGGTCCAGCTGGTCCTTCAGCTTCAGGACTCAAGCGTGCGGAAGGCGGCTCGGCCTCCAGGGTACAGAGCGGAGAGCCGCAGTGGGAATCCCGGCCGTCCGCTGCTCTCCCAGCTCCGGAGGTGGCTCGCAGCCCACGGCTGGCTTCCGAACCGCTGCGGCCAGCTCTTGTCTGTCAGCTTCATGGGTCTCTTGACAGGAAGCGCCTGTAACCAGACACAAGACGGCCTCCAACAGCCTCACAACCGCCTCGGCTCCTCTGCGCTCCAGCTGGCAGCGGAGGACCCTCCGCCTGCTCCCAACGTGCCCCTGCACTGGCCACATGAGCGTCCCAGCTGCCTACAGGTTGATGTGCAAGCCTTTGGCTCAGCACCTAAGGCCCTCCTGATGGGGTTCCTGCCTGCTCCTGGCCACGTCCCAGCCCGCCCAGCCCTGCAGCCATCCATACTGAGCCGAGAAGCCCCGTAGAGCTGCCCGGTCCTACACATGCTGCTCCCTGCACCTGGAAGGTCTTTCCCAGCTCTCTTTCTTTCAAAACTCCTCCCCATCCTTTACGACTCAGGCCGGACGTCCTGTGTGGCTCTCCCTGACACAGGGCCCTACAGCTCTTCGCATGTGCTCCTCGTGGGCACTTAGAGCCTGTGCTGAGACACTCATCTGTCAAGTAGAACAGTAGCTCTCCGGAGGCAAGAACCACGTCTTACTTGCCTGTGGAGCTCTAATACCAAAGACAGTGCTCAGAACCGAGAAGACTTAAAAAGTACGGCTCCTCAACTGGTGGATTTGGAAATGTCACAAACACAGAATATTTGCCCTTCAGCAAGGCAGCTGATAAGGAGTGTAAGGAGTTCCAAATGTCCCCCAGTAGAAAGATACAGATTAATGCTAGTTGTTTAGGTAAGTCAGCAACTGATGAAAACCCTTCACGGGTGGTGTGGATTAGGTATCCCAAAAGGAAGAGGAAGGAAAGGACAGAGCTCTGCCAGGGTAAGACCTCATGAGCTGTATAAATCAGCAGAGGGACAGGTTCAGGAGGGAGAGCCGGGAATAACTCGTTGAAGGAAACTTCCATAGTGGGCAGGTTCCCTTAAAGGGATGACCTTTAAACTAGGCATGGCCAGAATCAAGATGAAAGTAACTTAGAAAATTAAATTAGGGCCTACTCGTGCCTCTAGAAAACTCACTAACTACGGCATAAGGACCATCCCCGCCCTAGCCACAACAGACACACACCCTCAGCCACAAGGTGGAGGTGATGTGGTAGAACACAGCTAGCAAGAAAAACCGGAGCTTCTTGGCTGGGACCGTGACACAGCCCTCAGGAAAGCAGTATGCTCGGGGGCCGCATGTGTCATCATTCGCTCCCTGCACAGCACAGGGAAGACGGCCATTCTGCTTACTCTTCACGGGTCCATTCAAACCTGGCTGAGACTTTCGGTTCTGGAGCTGCACTTCCGAGGGCTACCGCCTGGAAGGGACCACGCGAGGCTGGGATACTAAAGCGCGCCGGGAGGAGCTGCCGGGAGCAGTGCACATATGCTGCCTCCGGGACAGGCCATTCCTGCCCTCAAAGGCTGGAAATCTGGGAAAGGGGATTAAGTTGGACTCAGCAAGAAAGAACTTCTGCTGCTCAGAGCTTCCCCTTGGGAACCCCACCCCAAGAGAGGCGGGATGCCGGGGGCGGGAACTTAGTAGAGGACTGCACACATGACAGTCTACGCTTCTCTGAAACCTCCTATGAAGCAACCCAGTTCACACACTCTGATATTCTGCAAGTGCTATAAACAAGGCACATCTGCCTAACATTAGAAGACAATTTTCAATTTTTTATAACTTTAAAAACATCTGGAACATTTCATCAGCTCCTGTTGCCATCATCTGCGGGTGATGGTTGTAGTTAGTCACAGACTGAGTTTCATTTTAACACTTAATGGTTTTTATTTACATGTATGTATGTATGTGTGTGTGTGTATTAAACTGTTTGAAGCAAAGCAAGGTAAAACAAAACAGAGGAAGGCCAGTCCGAGAAATAATGGTCCTTATGTCTTACTTATTTTATGTGCACAGAAGGCACCTTAGAAGACCGTGAATTTTACTTGGTGTATTTCTGGGCTGTTCTTACTGTCACACATGCCCATGGGGCTACTCAGGCCCACGTCCCAGACTCACCTGCACAGCGCCTCTGCGTCCAGCTGCCGGGGGTTTCTGTGGTCAATGATGATGATGTCATGATGCTTGTCCAGGAAACAGGCAAGAACAGCCTGAGCCTCCTTGGTAACTGTGCACTTAAACCCTGCTTTTTCACATGCCCTGCAGAATCCATTACACTGGTTATCTTCTTTGGTAAACACTAAAAGTACCTGAATCAAAAAAGAACGAGCACTTTTTAAGAAAAAAAAAAAGAAAAAAAAAGTCATTGTTAGAATGGTCATTTCTTAACATGCCACAGAAAACTCCCAAGTGTTTTCCAGGCAAGTACACAGATGTGGACACAACAATCTGTTGACAGAAATCCTCCTACACGTAACTCACAGACATTACCACTCAGCTCCCCCAAATTACTGCTATTTTATCTGCTCTTGTCTAGATGTCCAAGTGCATGGCTCATATTCTTTTGCTAATAAGCCCACTGGCGAACTCAACAAAAGCTTAAGCATTTTATCTTGAAACTATTTCAACTACACCCAAATACTTATTTTAGTTAACAGTAAGTTAACTAGACAAGTTCCTTGGATGGCAAAAACTGAAACTATTTTAGTCAAACTTTTAGAATACTTAAAACTTTTTTTTAAAAAATATTTTATTTATTTGAGAGAGTGGGAGCCTGAGTAGGGGGTCAGAGGCAGGGGGAGATGGAGAAGCAGGCTCCCCACTGGGCAGAGAGCCCGACATGGGGCTCGATCCTAGGACCCTGAGATATGACCTGAGCCAAAGGCAGAGTCTTAACCCACTGAGCCATCCAGGCGCCCCAAATAGTCAAAACTTTAAATAATGTATTTAAATGTTTTGACTCAAGATTTTATGTAATTCCTCCAACTTAAAAAAAATTACTTTGATGACAAGATATTTCAAGTAGACCCAAATATAATACCTCATAACTGGCCAGGCAATCCCTCAACCTCCCTTCCCTCTGGAAACCACCAGATTGTTCTAAGTCTGCTCTGCTTTTTGTTGTTGGTGATGGTGGTTTACTGTTTTAAATTCCACATATAAGTTAAATCATATGATACTTGTCTTAAGGCAAGGGATTAAGATAAACTTCCAGGGGTGCCTAGGTGGCTCAGTCGGTTAAGCGCCTGACTCTTGATTTTGGCCCAGGACAGAATCTCAGGGTTGTAAGATCGACCCCCACGTCAGGCTCCAGGCCCAGCGCTGGGCCTGGAGTCTGCTTAAGATTCTCTCTCTCCCTCTCCCCACAACCCCTTTACCTCTGCTCTCAAATAAATAAATAAATACGGTAAGCTTCCAGTCATAAAATATATATGACCTGGGAATACAATGCATGGCAGGGGGATTACAGTTAACAGTACAGAACATTATATGGTGACACATCGTAGCCAGAGTTATAGTGCTGGTCACTTCCTAATGTATATAAATGTCGAATGACTGCTGTACACCTGAAACCGATATAATGTTAGAGGTCAACTTCATTTCAATAAAAATCAATTAATAAAGTTCTGATTGACAGCAAATGACAAAATAAAGAAAACCATCAGTTAAGTGACACAGGCACAGCACCAGGCCCAAGGGGTGGCACCTGTGCCTCTGCCCAGGATGACGGCTTGCTGTCCCCTTGCCTGGCCCGGATCAGGTGAGGCCTGCATCTGCCATGTCTCCCCTCCACAGCCAGGCACCCCCTACCACCGCCCCCTCACCCCCCACCACGCCGGCCAGGTCTAGGTCAGAAGCACACTATTCCTTCTGTCCCTTCAGACCTGGATGGACTCATGAGGACAACGGTGGTAATGTGGAGGTGGGCAGCCTGTGAGAAGGACCACAATGCTCCCAGAGACCCTGTCCCCAAAGGCTCCGCTCCTCCTGAGTTTACCCAAGCGCAGGTCCACCACAAATGCCAAGAATTAAGAGAGCACAGCTCTGCCCGTCCCAACAGTAGATGGCTTGTGTGCAGGAAGCATCAAATAACACTGGAGCTCAATTTCAACAGCTTATGTTGTCTAATACTTTGGATCTGCTCATTTAAATATTTTCCAATAGAGCTGATTCAGCAACACAGGAAAGACCATGCTTTTGCTTTTTTGTACTGGAAAATTTCAAACCTACAGAAAAGCTGTGAGTGTACCGAACGCTAGTGGACCCTTCTATCTTCATCAACTGTTAAGATTTTGCCCTCTTTGCTCTCCCCGCCCCCCCCCCAGCAATTATGCACATTCTCTTCTTTATTGCTGAACCTTTCAAAGTAAGGTGCACACGTGTGTGTCCAAGAAAAATACATTCTCTTGTTTAACTAGAGTATTATTATCAGCTTCAGGAATTTAATGTTTATCCACTACTATTAACTAAAATAGAAAACTGTTTTCACTGTTAGGCCCTCTCCCTCCCCCTCTTTAAAGAAAATCAACATGTAAAAATTACAGCACGGTTTAGTATTGGTTTATCATTACCTGGAGCTGATCTGGATGAAATCTCATTGGGCCAAACTGCACGTCAGCTACTGCTACCTGTAAGAAAAAAGTGTGCTCAAATTTTTTTAAAGATAAGATCACTCTAAAATTTCTCTCTAATCAGTGCCACAGATGAAAGTGAGATTTTTACTCCAGAGAAAAATTACATAAATTAAATCGTTAATGCACAGAATCCCAGGGATCTCCTTCTAACCCTCAGGGAAGATGCAGAGCAGGGAGGGAGACATGGAATGAGCCTGACCTGGCTCTGCTTTTCCTCGTGGGGTGTGACCTTAAGCAAACTACTCAGCCTTCCTCAGTCTTAAGTTTCTCATTTGTCACAAAGATCAAATGAGTTTATAAGATGAAGGGCCCCCGAAAATTAGACACTGGATGAACACTGATTGCTTCTATCTTTCTTTGATGGACAATGAAATCTTACATCAAGAATGGCACATACAGGGGCGCCTGGGTGGCTCAGTGGGTTAAAGCCTCTGCCTTCGGCTCAGATCGTGATCTCAGGGTCCTGGGATCGAGCCCCGCATCGGGCTCTCTGTTTGGCAGGAAGCCTGCTCCCACCCCCCACCCCCACCTGCCGCTCTGCCTACTTGTGATCTCTGTCTGTCAAATAAATAAATAAATAAATAAATCTTTAAAGAAAAAACCATGGCACATATATAATGAAATTCAGAAGTTAGAATCATGCGACATCAGAGCAAAGGAAGCCCCACTGAGAGTGTTAACAGTTTCATTTTACAGACCAGCACAGTATTTATCAATAATTGTTTATCTATTTGAGAACTTAGCACTAAATGACACAGGTAAATGCAATGCCATAATCAAATCACAACACCAACGGAGGGGCTTAGCGTATACTGGGCGCTAGGCTAACTGCTGAACATATGTTATCTTGCTCAATCTTTACAGCAACACAGTGAGGTTTATGGTCGGAGAACTGAGGTTCCAAGTACCTTGTTTAAGGCCACAGAGTCAGCAAGTGGTAGCTGGGATTTCACTGCAAACCCAGGACCACCAGAAGGTTTGGGCAGTCTGTGCGCTGCATAAGGGAGCCCGGGGGAGGAAGAATATGGGGCTGAAACACAGCCCTGAATGATGGGTGCTGGCACTGAGTTGATCCCAGAGGAGGAGACACATTTCTGCAATTTTCCCAGAAACACTGTTAAGTACTAAAGGGAGTCCATGGCCAAAAAAAAAAAAAAATCTGCAGCAGAAGACCTAGATCTATAAGCTTTCCCACGAGATATTTCCTACCTGACAGCCCACCTCCCATGTCTCCCCTCAAGCAGTGATCTACCCCACAGTAAACACACAGAACAAAGCCCGCTCGGGATAGGGGAAGTCCGTGTTTATTTCTCACTGCTGGAAGTTGCTGTCTACCAACTACGGGACACCAGTTAAGTTTCTGATCTTCTTTGTGACAATTTCACCTCTTGGAAGGCGTAAGAAGAGCCAGGGCCACTACTATTCCAGACCTAAGACTGAGGAGGACGCTGTACAGGGCGGGAGGCTGGGAGGACAGACCTCCCCCAGCACCATCTAACCCCCCATGCTGTGGAGCTGCAGGCCAAGGCCAAGAGGGTCTTCAAAGAGAGGTCTGGTCTATGCAATCATTCGCTCGTGGTGCACTCAGAAGGAAAGCGAGAGGCACTGTGAGAGACCAATCTGAACAAAGAGTTTTCTGTCGGTTTTTATAAACAAAGTTTAAAAGAACAAATAGAAATACAAGGACGGATACAGACCCACTGCTTGGAGAATGCAGTGACCTACTCAGGAGAAAGAAAAGGGGGAACAAAATGACAGGAGAAGAAAGAGAAGGAAAATCATTTCGCTAATTTTCTATACCAGGGGGGACAGTTTCCTAGGAGAAAGCAGAAGACTCGGGAGTGGGAAGCCCAAGAGAAGGCAGCAGCCAGCCAGTGCTGGGGTCCCTTACGTGAGCACAGAGCGGCAGCCTCTGACAGAGGACTCTTAGGTGATTGGCTCTGAAGGGCCAAGTAGATAAAAAGGTCTCAAAGGAGCAAGAAATACTTATGCATAGTATAAAAACATTTGATACACTAGGTCACAGAGAAAACCTTAAAACACTTTGCTGAAAGTAAAAATGGTACCATTTTTATTTTTCAACCATAATGCCATTAAACCAGAAATTAAAAACATGAACTTAAGCAAAATCAACAAACACAACTGCCCTGAAAAAAATTTAAATACTAACTTGCAGTTGCCTGGTCAGAGAGGGAAATGCAAATTATACCTACAGATTATCTGGAAAACAGTAAAAATGAAAATATCATGTAACGAAACTTACGGGATGCTGCTAAATTTTACTCAGAGACAAGATTCACAGCCTTAAATCCTTCTGTCACCAAACAAGAATGAGGTACATTTACCAAGCTTTCAAGTCACTAAGTTTGAGAAAGTCAACAGCTCAAACTTAAGGAAACGGGGAGGGGGGTAGTAATTTAAAAATTTTATTTTTAAATAAAGTTTAAAATGATTTAAAAATGATAACTAGGATGTTTGTAAAATACATACGTGTGCATACACACACACACACACACACACATTATATATAGTGTTGATTATAAACTGAGGGACAAGAAAAAAGTATGACTGGTTCAGGGCAAAGCGTTATCGCTCCCAGGAACACAACTCAGCACACGGTCCACACCGAAAGTGGGTGAAGTAACTTTCACAGACAAAGGAAAATATAACTTTATGATCTCAACTTACAAAAATAACTCACTACTACATTCATTTTAAGAAATAAAAGAAATTATAGATTTTTTAAAAAAAATTATTAATTTTACCTCGGTATAATTTTAATATCATTTTAAAAACATTAATGTTTCAACAACTCTATTTACCACCGAACACTTACTTTATTTACTTAACTAGATTGCATTTGAACCTCACATCCTGTCTACGGGGTACATCCGGCTCTCAGGACCTCTGTCGAGCAGTGTCCCAGCAGAGCCGGACAACTACTTACCATTGCCCCCCCCAAAATAACCACCACCAGGAAATCTGATGACATTACTCAGTGAGCGGACGTCAGCAGTGGGCCCTTAAAGAGTAAACAACTTCCCAAGTGCTCTGGAAAAGGGGATCAGAACTATAGAATTCTTGCATTCTTCCTTTCTTTGTGTATGAAAATCAGAATCAAACTGACCTAATGCTTCAAGGTCATGGCCCTTTTAGTAACTGGTTGTGCACATTAATATTTAAAAGAGGATAGTCCTCCTTAAGTTAATTTTAATATCACAGCTTTGATGTAATCTTTCAGCTTCAAAGGCAATTGCTATCTTTGGACAACACAGAAACAACACTATGTTCACGGATATTGGTAATTATACAAGTTGTTGAGTTTAGTCTTCTGGATTTTTAGATATGTATTTATTAATACTTATTGTTAGAGATTGTAAAAAGTCTTTCTGTATTTTAGTAAAGTAATATTTGTAAATATGGCTGACAGAAACATGAAATGAATTATGTTTGAAACTTTGACAGACCACGTATCAGATTTCTTCTGTTTGCCTAACTGACCTAACATTTAGAAGTGACACTAGAAGGCCAAACCAGGGTTATGAATCCGGGTCCTGGATGGGGGTGGGAGAGAAAAGAGATACAGAATGCCAATCTATTTAAAACCTCTGTTCGCCCAAACCAACCCTATCTCTTGGCTGCTTTGTTTTTTTTCTCTGTAGCTCTCAGTCATCATTTGCAAAATTGCTTATTTTACTATTTATCTTCTTTACTGTCTGCCTCTCCCACTAAGAATGTCCGTGCTATGAAGACAGGGACTTATCTCCTTTATTCATTGCTGTATTTCCAATATCCCAAACAGTCCCTGGCATGGTAGTCGTTTAAGAAATATTTTTGAATCAGTGTTTACTCAATAGCTAATCTTTCTGAATCATTCTTTTATCCAGAAATCATACTCATACTAGTTTCTACATACACATGTACTTGTGATACAGTACTCCCATTTTCCAGAATGTTTTCTTATATACTTTATTTCAAGAAAGAACATAAAGGAAAGAAGGACTCTTACGAAAGCCTAAACTCTAGGAACCACAAAAAAATCATGTGATCTATTCTTTTTCCTATATCCCCTTTATTAGAAACAAAAGTTATGCTGGGATCAATTTACATTAATTGTCTATAAACCTAGGAACTCTAGCAAAGTCATAAATCAGATTTTGCCCTGAGCCAAGCTTCCCTTCCAGGTTTTCCCTGTACATCCTTATTGTCTTTCTCTCCACACAGAGTGGTAATTTGGTCAAGGGGACATACCTTCAACAAGACAGGAGACACCAGTTCCTGGGTGGGAAGAGTCAAAATTAGCCCAGCCACCTGGGGACCATGTACTGCTCTGCTTTAAGCCAAGCACAGAGCTGGCCAGGTACCAGGGAGTGCGAAGAAGTGCCAAACGAGAAGTGCCCAACCCCGTCCTTGAGTTGCAGGAGGGGAAAATGTCTGCACTGACAACATGATAGTTTTACTAGAGAAAGGAGGTGCCTATTATATGCTAAATACTCTTCCAACCATACTTAAATCCAATTTAGCCCTCCCCCTCCGAGTAAGGTAAACTCATTAACTCCATTTTATTGATGAAAAGAATGAAGCTCAGGGCAGGGTGGTTAGGCAGTTGGTAAACGATAATGATGAGAGTAAAACCCAGTTCAGGGAAACTGAATTCCTGTGGCCTTTCTATGCTCCATTTGGAAAGGCCTAAAATCATGTGACCCTCACTACACTGAGTGGAAATAAGACCGAGAACCTAGAGAGCAGCATTCACCCACTTGACCAATCTTTGTTGGGCACCCACGGTATGCTAACTGGTTTCCTAGGCATTCGACACCCAACAGAGAACAGGACAGACCGTATCTTTACCTAACGGGGAGATGTGACGGAAACTAAATAGGGTGCTATTTTGAATCAGAGTCCAGGAAGGCCTCTCTGAGGCAGTAATGTGGAAGATGAGATCTGAATGAGAAGAAGGCAGCCATACAAGGAACGGAAGAAGGAGCCCCCGG